TTCCGTGGAAATTATGTGAAAATTTTCGTTGAAATAAATCCAAATATAATACACCAATTATATTGTAATTTATTGTATCTACCTTTTATCTTATACCATCATAAAAACAAAGCCTAGAACTTTAACCTACCTACAATGTGGACAAGTTGACCTTTCAGCCATCCATCTCTGAAGCACAAAAATATATATTTCAACCCAAGATGAAGTAATGTTGTTGCTTATTTACTACGTCTGTCAGGGGGCAGTTATTCCCTCTGTTATGAGAAGAAGGATAAGAGGATATAAATGAAATTTGGGGGGATAATCAAGAATCAATGACCCTTGCAATCCATACACTGTCACTCCAAGAGTGAGTGTAAAGATTCTGGTTGACTCTTTTTTATTAGATTTCTATTATAAAACAGTACCTGAATACACGCCGAGCAACAAAGTTTAGAGCAATGTGGGCACATGCGAGCATCTTGTAATTTCTCCATACAAATGAAACAGCGAAAGCATCGAAATACTTCGCTGAGGACCTGACAATTTAAATTGTTTGAATATTAATAAAATGTGATGGTAATGCATTATCTAACTTTACTTTCGCTAATGTATTGTGGTCAAACATGAAGTTATCAGAGAAAATATTGATAGTACTTTTCATTACACATATTAGTGATAGTCCGAACTCAAAACTGCTTAATATTACGATGAAAAATCCAGCCATTCGTCTTTGTTTTTGGACGTAATTGTATATTATACATTGTTAAATGATACATTGGTACATTGTTAAAAGATATACTGGATTATAGATCTTAAAATGGGTTATACTAACTTACTGTTAAAACTAGAGTTTGACAATTAAAGTAGAAAAAACAACTCTTATTTATATATAAACAATACTTCGGCTGATAACTTTTTTGAGTTTTCAAGCATAACTTCTCCAAAATTTTACCTACTTTAGATGTCTACTTTGTAAAAAAAAGAAAGAGTACCTTAACGCCTTCCTTCTTATCCATGATTCAAAATATTTCGCCAAAGCCGAGACCCTGCAGAGTTTTATTACGTGATAGAGAAACTAACAACTACTTCAAGTGATCCGCCATTTTGAACTGACCGCGCATGGACTAGAACGAGTATTTAAAGCCCATCATTTGACCCTAGAGGGGGGTGACTGGGGGTGACGAGGGGCGTCATCGATGGTGAAGTTCGAGGGTAAAGATATTATTAGTCTTGTTCAGCGAGCTCCACCACCACCCTGAACCTATATATGTACATTTTAATGCAGGAATGTTGCAAGTTATGCGCTTGCATTTCGCTCACTTGGTGAGCCAGTTGATATAAACCCAAACCTTCACTGTGGCACTTTCACCTCACTTCCACCTTATCTCACTTAGCCTCACCTATAAACATCACATAACTCACATTACTTCACCACACCTGACCTCACCTCACTTCACAACACACCTGACCTGACTTCACAAACTACCTTACTTCACCACACCTGACCTCACCTCACTTCACAACACACCTGACCTGACTTCACAAACTACCTTACTTCACTACACCTGACCTCACCTCACTTCACAACACACCTGACCTGACTTCACAAACTACCTTACTTCACCACACCTGACCTCACCTCACTTCACAACACACCTGACCTGACTTCACAAACTACCTTACTTCACCACACCTGACCTCACCTCACTTCACAACACACCTGACCTGACTTCACAAACTACCTTGCTTCCCCACACCTGACCTCACCTCACTTCACCTTACCTCACTTCATGCCTTCACCTTACTTCACCACAGTTCACACCTGACCCCCTCCAATTTTACACTACTAGCTCACTTTATCAATCAGTTTTCCCAGTTTATATGCAGCCAAAGATATCAGTGAAACTATGTTTTAAAAACAAATGTCAATGGATATACCACATAGATTACTAACTATTTACATGGTGTGTTTAAGAAAAATATTTATATTGTTTCATCACCATGCAAAACTACAAAATTGTGTCTTTTCCCAGTCTCATTCCAAACATCTCGGGTAATCAACAACAAAATTGAAAAGGAATCATGCACCTGCAGTTAGCCTCATGCTCTCTTGAAATCCACTGCACAGGTCAATATCTATTTTCAATTTTGGTTTTGATTATTGGAGATTGTCTGTATTGCCACAAGGGCAGATCATATCTGTAACAAATCGTATTATGACAAATGTTTCTTAGAATAATATCAAGGCTGAAAGATCGCTTGTGTCTATCACAGAGCAGATCTTATATATGTACATTTTAATGCAGGATACCTAATTTTCTACCATTTTCTCTTCACCATGCCCCTGTTCTGTGCCTCCAGGAGTTTCCACAGATTTCTTTTCCCCAGTTCCTTCGCTAGCACTCTCAGCTGCTGTGGTCTTTGGGGCTTCTTCACCGACAGTTCTATGACAATCTAAGAATACAACTATTACACTAACATTATCTGTTGAGCCATGTTCAATTGCACGATCCACAAGAAATTTAGCAACAGAAGAACGACTGCCACCACTGGACAAATGATCTTGCACCATTTTGATGACCTCAGGAGCTGCGATTGTATCCCACAATCCATCACAGCCCAAAATAAGGTATTCCTCATCACCTAAATGAAGGAAGATCATTCAGCACAAACAGGGTGATATACTGACGTATGCTAGGTACTGAAGCCATGAGCTACCTTCAAGATCAAATTCTCGTGTATCAGGATCAGCTGAAACATATGGTTTGTGATCTTTATCTCCGATAGATCTTGATACAGCAATATTTCCATTCACTCGCCAATCTCCTATCCATATGACACACCCACCCAGATCTTCAATACGTTTTCGTTCATCCTGAACAGATATTTTTTATAGCCATATTAGGTAATGCAATTAGGAATTACAAATTATATAATCAAAAATTATGAATTATACAATTAAGAATTATAAAATTAAGAATTCTACAATTAAGAATTACATAATTAAGGATTTTAGAGGGAAACATGGCAAATTGTTACCTTTCTGTTTGGTTTATGCGGCTGCATCAATTCAACTGCTTGTCCTTGCTTGCACAGTGATATTTGAGAATCCCCCAACCATCCTATGTTTAGTGTGTTACCCTTTAACATTGCTACAACACCTGTTGTTCCAGCACGTAAGTTCTAAAATGTATTTGAAAGAGTATGACAAATTAATTGATAGACAACATTAAAAGTTCCTTATCTAGTAGTTCTGCAGGGCAACATTAATTGTTTTATTATGGTTTTACTTCTGCAGATACATGACCAAAATTCTTCTCCTATTATTCATTACAATGTTACCTCATTTTTTGCTTTCTCTGTAAAATGTTTGTCTGTGGAAAGAAAGGCTTTGGACAAAGCCTCATCCAGATCAGTAGTAAACTCATCTTGCTTTGCAATGTTGTTATGAAAATGAGCAACTGTGTAATTTGCACAATCAACACCCCCATGACCATCAAACACAGCAAAATAGGCCTGGCTAGGAAACTCCTAGAGATAAAGGTTGTGTTGAAGCTAAATTTGCACAGGATATCTAAGGCTAACAGAATAGATCTTCAAAAACTATACCTCATTTAAACCAAAAAGATTGTTGAATTCAGTGATAACCATGTGCCTATCCTCCATTCTCCTTCTTGTATTTTGTGTTGAATGACTGTAAACCTCGTATGTATTTCTAGATTTATACAGTGTTGGCATACTCTCTTTCCACATCTTACAAACATCATGAACTGCATTGATAGTTGCAATTGCCAACTTACCACAGTTCACAGCTAAGCAAATTTAAAAGATTTTAGTATAATTGCACGTAAAAAAACTTGCCTGGAGTACAAGTATGGTTCATAGAATTATATCATCTATAAACATGAGAATTAACTAACCTTTTATATTTTTTCTCGGGATTTTCGATTCATCTTCTTCGTCCGAATCAGTTTTTTTATCAAATACAGAGATCTCTTCCTCGAATGACTGAAGATCTTCTTTTAGTAGTTTCACGATAGTCTGGTGTGCAGCTGTTGTTGCCACTATTTCTGGCGCACCACTGTCAAACAAGACAACAAAAGAAATCAGTATAGTCTTGCTGCAATTTAAGTCAAATTTTGAGACCTTTTAAACATATTTCCACCTCGATCTAGTTATTTGCTTCTTTTGCCCACCAACTTTAACATTTCATTCTGTCTTACAACAGACAATCTCACATGCCTACAAATGGGTTAGCAATATGTTGTTGTTGTTAACTCATTCTAAGGAATGTGACAAATATTACACAACTCAGCAACTTTTTAAGTTTCAGGTTGCTAAGGGCTAAAATGAACGAGTTTCGCTTAGAAAATACGTATAATAAATAAACTATAGAATATCCGGTTCATGAACCTCATGTGTATGCGAAAAGCAGTATAATAAATGATAAAAGTCATAATTTGTAATTAAAAATACACCAAACTAACGACATTTGCTTAATTATTTCACACAGATCTGCCTTTCACTTTCGTTAATTACCTGTTTCGTAGATACTCCAAAGCGATGTACAGACATTCCCCTTCGATTTCATCCTTTGAACAATGCAGTGAAGTTGACTGTTTAGGTAAACTTTCAACACTTTCATAAACTATACCACCACACTTCTCCACAAACGAAATGATGAATTCTTTGGCAGCATTCTGTTCCGCGACGGATACTTTCTCACTCATTGCAAAATATCCAAATTAAACGACAAATAAACGGCAATTTTCATAAATAGTATCCTAATGCACAATATGCTAAACTCGATGTCACGCTTTTAATCGTTCTCAAGTGGAAAAAATGACAAGAAATTAGTTTTTAAAGCAAAATCATATGAAAAATATCACTTGACTTCGTTTATTAATGGTGTACAATTTTGGGCGTGGCCGCGTGGGTATCTCGTGAACCCACGCGTGATGTCTTCGGGGACAAACGTGTGACTACGTGTCTCGTGATTTCGTTCAAGTATAAGAGGGAAGGCTCTTTTAAAAATCCTGTAGTTCACGTCAAAATTCACCTGACTAATCTCTCTTTTCTGAAAAGTCTTAGGAGCTAAAACGATTTTTAAAATACTGAAACAACTGGTACATGCAATTCCGATCTTGTCCGTCAATCCATTCCATTTGTAAAAACATTTCAGGTAAAACATCATCTTCCACAAGATCATTGCATTTAGTTCCAAGAGACAAGGTGAACTCAATCAACACTTGTTTACTCTCTTCCGTATCGTCTGATTTTAAGAACTTGCGTTTTGTAATATCAGAAGAAGACGAGTGTCTTCGTTTATTTCCAGTTGAAGAAACTTTGACGCCAATATGATCAGGTTCTGTTACATAATCGTTGTCGTTTATGTTGTCATTATTTTGTGTTTCTTCTTCAGGAGTAGCTGGATGTTTCGCTCTAGTATTCGTCATCAGGGTGACCGAACATTTCCCAGCGATAACATCACTTGAACTCTGATCTCCATCATGGACCCCGCCTGTCGAAACAGATGACGATTCTGCAGGAAATTTCTGGACTGTTTCATTGACTATGGAAACTGTATCTTGATCTGATGTAACTAATTCTTCAAGGCTAATCTCTGACGTTCTTGGTGGATTTTTTGATTGTTCATCTTCTGAAGTGCCATTGGTTGAAAGTTGTTTACTAGTTTTCAGTTTCCCAGCCGCTTCACGTCGTTTACGTCTCTGGTTGGCCCAGGTATTATGAGTGGCACAACAGTGAAGTCTCGATAACTTCATCTTTCTTTCATCTGATGAACTTTCAGACAAAACCTGTACCTATATAAGTTAGGAGAGAAATTACTCAGATCCAGCAAGTGCAAATCAATAAATAGATTCACTTTACTGAATGGTGCACAGTCTTGTCTGAAACTCTAACGATAACTTTGTTTTAATCAAGATTTTATATGATCACACAATCGGACTAAAAGCAAACTTATTCTGACCTGAAGATCGTTAAGGATTTCTTTAAATATTTTCGAAATTTTATTGATGTATTGATTGATATTCATTGTCCCAGAAAGTGACTCCTTTGAACAAAACGACGTCGAAGAAAATGTAAACTCCAGTGGTTTATTTTTACGTCTTTTTTTTGGCGTATCCTGCGTCAGAACATCCGATAAAAACGTCCATGCAACTCCCCATCTCATTGTCTTGCCTTGACAGAACTCTGTGGTGATAATATTGGAAATCTAAACATATCAAAGTGAAACCTCCTGTTGAATCTAAAAATAACCTTACTTGACATCGAGGAAGTTTAGAATGGATAAATAAAGTTAGTTTAGTTTAGGTTTCCTCCTGTAGTAACACTGGATCAATAAGAGGTGATCCTTACTGGACCTCTAGGAAGAACAGTTTAGAGCTGATAGAGCTATCCATTATAAATAAGTTTAGTTCACTTACTTTATTTTGTTTTAGCTTTGTTAAAACGGAAGCTAAACTTGATTTTTTCCCTAACATTGACGTAAACCATCTATGTAAAATGCAAGAAGGACAAGGTCAGCGAAACTGAGTACGTTCCTCCCTGAATGAACTTGGTCTTGATCATGTGCTAGGCTAGGGAAGTCCCTCTGTCTCTTCAAATGCTTTATGTTAGAACATTGTGCAAGATATGTGTCAGACAATAAATTGGATTAACTACGAGAAATGTTGATAGATCTAAGGTCTAAGAAGATTTGAGACATCCCAAGGTCAGCGATGAGTGGTCAAGTTCTTTGCTAGTAAAAAGTCCCCCTCAGAGTCCCGTGTTTTGAGGTAAAACTCATTAAATGGTTCCCACTTACTTAACTCTAGACCCCAGTCTTAAACTGTCTTCAATCATTCTCCCAACAAACGTCACTTCCCCACCCGAAGTCACTGTCTCAGACTCTGAACCTGTGCATACAGAGCTCGGTCGGGGACGATCGCCAGTTCTCGAGCTCCCGACTGTTTCCGACTTATCGGCGAAGAATGGTGGATTGCACATAGTAAAGTCATACTGCTCGCCCTCCTTCAACAAGTCCACCAAGATTACGTCTGGCGTCACGAGATGTACTAGAAACATGAGGGAATAGTGTGAGAAAAAACACGGAAACTTTGCTAGTAGTTGAACCCGCTAAACTGGGTTTTACAACCAGTTTAACCAGTTCATCTTGTTTGTCATGACCTTGTTCGTCATCACCAGTTCAACCAGTTAGATTCTCAACGCGACTTACAGAATAATACCTCGTATAGTTTCCTCAAAATGATTTCTTTTCACATTCTCGATTGCGAAACGATACGATATTTCATCAACTTCCGAAGCGCAGAATTTCCAATTATTAATCTTCGCTCCAAGAAGAGGATAAACACAGGACGAACCAGTGCCTAAAATACGCACAATAATTTAGTAACCAACCTGTACTAATCATACCCCTAATTCAGTCTGCGAGCAGGCTAATTTTACCCTGGTGACGTATGAAACGTGATCTCCGGATGACGTGTCGTGTACCACGTGCCAGAAGGTTATAATTGCCATATTTTGCTGACTTTTAGATTTGCTTTAACGAAAGTCTCGAGATGTGAAGGTCTTCGACTGAGTGAGGATCAAGAAGGCCACATCAAGACATCATGTCGCAAAGTTGTGCAAAGAATGAATTTCCAACGGGAGACGAACCTCCCTGTATCGCCTGCCCAATCTCGAAAGTTGGTTGTGATTCATTCAAACAATTTATGGATATAGCCTATGAAAACTGCCTAAGGGATTGCGGTAGGTGCAATAAAGAGGGGGAAATTACATAAATAATAAAAAGTTTTGAGAAATATATCATACACAAAATCAATCCATTTATTAAAAGATAGTGCGTAAGAAGATTTTGCTGAAGTAAGCAAGTAAAGCACAGATTAAGCCAGGGTTTTCCCTATTATATAACATGAAGTAACGCTCTTTATTATAAGGTCTTATAACACTTTAGAATGTTTGCTAACTACTTGCTATGATATACAAATCAGTCCGGATAATACGTTTAAATCAGTTTAATCGCCTTTCTTACGATTTTTATGTAAATAGAGGTATTTCGTTAATTTATAAATTAAAGAGTATCAACTTACAATGCATGTCAACGCCCAACTTGCAAAGTCGGAGTTCCCCTTTGTAAGACTATAACTACCAGAACCAGTTGAAACCGGTTTATCTAGAAGAATTGATTATATACCTAGACAAGGAGTAGCAACTTCACGAAATTCTAGGGGGTTCACGCTCAGTGTTTTCCCTCGAAGTCTGACCGTTGTTAGAAATTTGAATTTCTAATTTCTGACCTCAGCATGAGGGGAAACAACGTTTTTTGTTTCGCGTTGGGAATAGATGAAAAGTTTGACATTTATTATCAATGGTTCAAATCCGAATGGTTAACAATACATGTAAAACAATGTAAAAGTTAAAATCATGTAAAACCTGTGTGTCTAAGCATAAACACACAGACAAAACAGTTGATGACATTTTGAACTAAAGGTCTTTGTTGTCGGGAGCGTTAGATTACTGCAATACATCTTGTTGATTATGGTTCAATATTGACATGACTGTAGTCATTACGGAAAGTTGTTATTGTAAAGAAATTCAACTAAGATTCTTTTGTAGGTTTTTTACAAACAAGATCCCCAGGTTCCTCGTTTGACAAATTAGAATTTGTTGAAATTGCGGCTCCAGTCTTTGGAGTTGTCTTCATATTGCTTTTAATAAAGCTGGTTGTCCTACCTCGATATAGTCGATATAGAGCTCGACGCCAGTCTCTACATGCAGGTTATTATTTTATTGTTTTTATCCAGGGGATACGCATATGGTTATTACAACAGGGATATACATATACTCATAAAGTTATTACAACAGGGATATACATATACTCATAAGGTTATTACAAGGGGATACTCATATACTCATATGGTTATTATCACAAGGATATACATATACTCATAAGGTTATTACAAGGGGATACTCATATACTCATATGGTTATTATCACAAGGATATACATATACTCATAAGGTTATTACAAGGGGATACTCATATACTCATATGGTTATTATCAAAAAGACATACATATACTCATATGGTTTTTAGTGATATTCTGTGACTACAGGCTACAGCTTACTAGCCATGTAATTTTATTTACAGCTAATATTGATGAAATGGAAAGAGGCGAAGCACCTCCAGGACAGATAGAGGTAGAGCCAGCTGCAGCAGGCACTTCAGGAGACAACAATACCCTAGGTGAATGTCCTCAATCTTTAGGAAAAACGGAAGATATCAGCGATCAAGAGGAATTACTGAAACACGTAGAGTCAGAGTAATAATTTGAAAGTTGACTGCAGTTCTAGAGTTCTACACTCATACGTACAAAAAATGAACCGCGACGGCCGGCATTAGCGACCAGTTTCGAGTCCCTGATCATGCGCCAAATCTGGCGCACGGACAGTACGCGCAAGTGGAAGCTGGCCTTAATTCAACTAAACATAGCTTTACCAGACGACATGCTTGAACACTCGTTTTTGTGGAAGCAGATAAATAGTAATATAATTTCTCTGCATAATTTTGTATACTTTTTCTTAATTATTATAAAGTTGAAATCTGTACATCAGTGATATTCAGCAACTGCGGGTTATTACTCGTGCTCTAGGAGGGCACGAGTCTAGGTTTCGTCGTGTGTCGGTCGCGTTTTGGACCTCGATGACCCAGAATGCAATGCGCCTTTGACCCAGTAATGTATGACGAAATGTAATTATTTGACAATACAAGCCACTTTTACAAACAATACGGCAAAATATATTGCACAGAAGACATTACTACGGTGCGCGATGTATATTACGAGATATAATTATCCGACAATACAAACCACATTTTACAAACAATACAAAGGATGCAAAATATATATGCACAGAAGACATTACTACGGTGCAACATTTACATGCATGATGCATATTCCTTGGTGCGATATATATTTTTAAATTCCTATATGAAAGCAAGATATATGATCGATGTTTTCGCAGTTTTAGACCTACAAATGCTTATAAATCACACTTATTAATACCTAAATGTTTGAACCTTGACATTACGAACAATACGAATCAATATTTTTACAACTAGTTTTTTGAAAGCTTTCGTCGGAACTAAAACACTGCAGTCTGCAGTCAATATATAATAGAAGCATTGACAAAGTAATATGTCACGCCGTGCGGATTGTTTATAGGGCAGGCTACCTATAATCGGCATTTGTGAATTGTGATAATAATGTAAATGTATTATTTTAAACTTGTGTGATACATTTTTGTCGTGTAAGTCCTCCCAGGCCCAGGGTAACCACAAAGCCTTAACTTGCGCTATAGTTCCCACAACACGCCATGATTGTGTCCCTCAAGTAATGCTATTAAATCCCTAGAACACAATCCCTAGAGCACGAGTGTACGCCTAAGCCGGCGTCTTGTTTAGCAATAAAGTATTCAATTTATCCAGGAGATAACACACCTGTCGCAGATTAGGAAGATTCAGGAGATTTTCATTCCGGAGATTTTTGACGGATGATCCCGTCAACACGCTAAGAATAAAACTTTTACGCTATTCACGGACCGATTTATCAAAAACCAGTGTCACTTGACGCTTCAAATAAGAATTCAGGAATTTTTAATAAAAAACGAAGGTCACGAAGTCACGCCCACAAGGCAGCTTTGCCCGCCTTGAAGAGTACCAGCCTCTTTCCCAGGAGGGACAAACCTGGGTACGAGCTTGAAAGAGTACACCCCTAGCAATCAGCAATCTGATGCAATGTCACACACTTATAAAATTCTGCCTCTGGCTAGAAACCTGATCACTAGCATTGATATATGCCAAACTAAACCGATATTCAGTCTAAATACGACTTTAAAACAAGTAAAAAAAAACAGTTTCAACCTCCGTCTGGTTTTGAATAGTATATTTTTGCGTGCTTAAGTTATTTCATTCGGAATTCTCTGTAAATTGGCTCTCTGTGAAATTCTTCAATGAAGAAAGGGTCAAGGTCATGGGGGTTTCCAACCTCGTACCCAGGGTCTTTACTCCCCACCACGAGTAAAGACCCTGGGTACGAGGTTGGGGGGTTTCCCCTTTGGGGGCTTCCCCTAATGGCTTAATGAATGAACGGAAAGCACGTTTTCATTCGTCATTTTGTCAAAAATTTTTCATTAGCGCTTGTTCTTCAAACAAGGAAGAGCTTCGTTAGAGCGAGGTTTAGTTTCAATTAAGTTTACGTAATGTCAAGGCGAGTTACGTGGTGCTTTTTTGCAGTTCTTTTATTGAATCACCGTATTGAAGCTCGTGTTGTCTGTAGTAGTGAGGAATTTCCGACGTATTCGTCTGATTTACCTCCATGCATACCTTGCCCTAAAACTAAACTGGGTTGTGAGAATCTCAAGTCTTTGTACACAGATGCTTATCTCAGCTGTCTAAAATGTGGTGAGTTGATAAACGTTTATGTCATTTATTTACGAAGTGTAATTTACCACACAGTATAGACGGCCGCTAAGGTAATTTAAGAGATAAAATGAACTTGAGTAAAGGTATATGTTTATTAACTCGTTTATTCATTCAAATGTTCATTCGCATTTACGTAAATACGAAAAAGAACAATGTTTTTCGTGATTATACTCAGTAAGCACAAATTTTGATTAGCAAGGCAATTTTTAAAATGGTCAAAGTCCGATTTAATAAGTCTTCCCACGTTTGACGTCATAATGTATTGACGTTTTGACCTGGCATTAATCCAAGTAAGGCCGCAGCGTGGCAGACTTATTCACCAAAACTTTCATAATCTAATTGTTTGCGAATATTTTGACCCCCCCTCTCCCCTTTTAACAAGCTCTATAGCCACTGCGTTTGGTTCTCTGCTCTTTACCATAACTATAAATATACATACATAACTGTCAACTCCACCATATACCAGTAAAACCAACATGCCTCAGTGTTCCTTTTACTGGTTACCTAATTAGGTATCTGCTACACCAGATTGTTTATATTCACATTAAACCTCCACAGATCCCATCAACGGTATAAATAAAGCAAATTTTGTTCTTTTACAGCTAACCTCAACACTAAGACTATTACAGCATCTTCCACTCCCAGTAAAAATATATCATATGAAGGTATGTACCATAACCCTTAGGATGCAGAAATTAATCTATTAGAAATAACTCTGTATTTTAAAGAAAAATTCCCTGAATGTGACAAAGAGATTCCGTAATGAAAATCCTATCAACAGTATAAATTAGGTAAATATTGTTATTTTACAGCCAACTTGACTGACCCAACTACACTTACAGAGTCTACCAGTGAACATATATCACACAAAGGTATGTACGATAGCCTTAGGCTGCAGAAATTAATTTAAAACTCCAATAAAACAAATCTATCTATTTTAAATTAAAATGTCTCGAATGTGATTTATTTTAGACTTCAATGAAGACTCGTCAGCAAACAAAGGCTTTCCAACCTGGGCAATATGGCTATGCGTTATTGTGCCTGTTAGCATCCTATTAATAATATCAGTAGTTTTTTCAAAACAAATATGGAGGAGATTTTTCACAACAAGCACACTTGTCTCTTCAACAGTCAACGTCACACATCCAATTGTTTCAAATATTGCCACAGAACACAATGATGCAACTGAATGTCAACCCAATGTCAGGTCCCGCTTAACAAGTGAAGGAGTTAATACTGCCATTGACAAAGTTGAAACACTAGATGACGCAGATGACGTCTAACCTGTGCGATGACTACCATCTGATTATATGAGCATATGTGATATTGCACTAACAAAATTTATTGTAAGCTACAGCTATTTATGATTAATTAGGAAATTATTTTTTTATGGAAATATAATATATTTTAATTACAAAAAATTTGTAAGACTCATCATATTCTGATTAAAGGTATGATGTTTCAATAAGCATTTGAATAAAACAATTAATATAAGTGATGTTTTAGCATCAAATGTGGTATAAAAATTGCCTAAAATATACCACATTTGATGCGAAGTTGTTTGAAGGCACTACCACGCAAACCACGCTGCTCCCTGGTTATAAGGTACTACCAATATTAAACTTACCAATGTCAATTCCTGTAATCTGTGTCTGATCATTCTTTGGTAACATTTGAAGTAAATCTTCAATCCAATGAATATAGTTCAATCTTAATGTGATAGTTGGTATAAGTCTATCAAGAGGCAACTCAACCGTCAATCCAAAATCATGATGAAGAAGACAAACTGTAAGTTCACGCAAAGCTTTTGGATCTTTGAAATTTATTGTATATCCACTCGATGTTGGCACTAAATACTTGCGAAATTCAGGATATTTTTCCCCTAGTTTTCCAAAGTTTGCAGGATTATTGCAATATTTGTTTCTGGGATGCATTATTTTAAAAGATTTAGTTGAAGTTTACTCAAATGTACTTCAAACTATATTCGCGGCCATATTGTAATGTTGCAGGGAGGACTGCGTAGTAAACTGGACCGACCCTCAGATAAAACATTTCATTCTATTTCATCTTTTCTTTTCAAGTTCATCTTGATAAACTGACTGTTGAGATAAATATAGAAATGGGAAAAACCCTGCACTGGGCTACCCGGAGGGGAGGAGGGTGACCATTACTGCAACACTCATTTCAAGTGAATGGACTGTTCTCTGAGGGTTGTACCTTAACCTTACCTAATACCCGAGTGGGCGTACACATACTGAATAGTGAATAGTGTTTTCAATGAATCTATCAAAGTTCAACAGCTATTTTGAGAAATTAGTAATTGTTTGAATATTACATGAGCACAATTATTATTTAAATGAAAAGGAAATTGATTCGGTAGAATTTCTTTCCTTGTCTGTCGGAGTAGAAGCATTAGATTTGGGGTTAGCGTCAAATGTCTTATAAAACGAAACTAGCAACAATAATTCTTAAGATTTCTCTACTGCTGTTTGTTTTGGCAAACAGTTGTCCTGAAGGACAATTTCACTCAAGTTATCTCGACGGATGTTCAGATTGTCCAAACGATCCTATTAACAACTGCAGAAACGAAGGTCCTACTGACACCAAAGTCTGTGAAAAGAATTGTGTTCGTAATAACAGCAGTGAAACTCGTGAGTATACAAAATAAAGTACAATTTTAGTCTTTCGTATCCACAAAATTCAATAAGATAAGTTTGAATAGTTTATAGTTAGGGATTTCCCATTTAAATTCGGAATTCCCCCAGACAGGTAATGTTTTATAATGTAATTATTAGCCGATAAGCCGTCCATTTAACTCGATAAGCCGTCCATTTAAGTTGATAAGCCGTCCATTTAACTCGATAAGCCGTCCATTTAACTCGATAAGCCGTCCATTTAACTCGATAAGCCGTCCATTTAAGTTGATAAGCCGTCCATCTAAGCGGATAAGCCGTCTATTTAAGCGGATAAGCCGTCCATTTAAGCCGATAAGCCGTCCGTTTAAGTTGATAAGCCGTCCATTTAAGCCGATTTGGTTATGTTTTAGAAGATACAAAATCCAGCGATAAAGACGTTGTCATACCCATTGGTGTTACATTTGGGATTCTGTCGCTTGTGGTGTTGGTCGGTGTCAGTGGAAGGTACTTGTACAAAAGACACAATTCTGTCGCTTGTGGTGTTTGTGTCAGAAATTCGGGTGCTGTTGAAAATGACCATGCAACTGATGACATAGAACAATATCCGGCCGCATATCCAGAATCAGAATCACCACAACTCGTACCAACAGGTACATTGCCAATGGACTTGGATATTAGAAAAGAATCCTCTAGCTTGAATATCGATCTGGAAGATTAGATAGCAGAAACAGATCTGAATATTCTTTCTTATTAAACGCTGCTGACGCTATAGAGTTCACAACTACTTGTATCCTTAACACTAAGCACTTTCTGAGATTATTGATATGGCCAACCAATCATAAAAACATGCACTTTACACACCAATACTATATAATAACTGCATGTAATATTCGCACTTTGAATCTAAGCGGTGTATACGTTGAATTTATCAGTTGAATCAGCAGATATATTATTTTTCATAGTGACTCTTACCAGCCATAAATGGTTAGGCCGAGAAGTAATTCAGACATATATACATTGAAACAGTGTAAAAACGGCCCACTCAATAATATAGGAATTTATGGTTTCAACACTGGAACTTTTGTTATAACTTATAACATTTTGCAAATTAGCACCTTTTCCATATTGTATCATATTTAGGGAAAAATAAACAACACACAAAAACTAATATATTGCTTCAGGTTATGTCTATTATATATACTGTGAGTACAGTTAGAATAAAAACCGAGTGAATGTTCATCAATTCATGACTGTCTACACGATCAAGATGTATGTCATAATACCCACCAAACAGCGTATAGTCGAATACTTTTTGCGGCGATACAACTGGCTAAAATATAGATAAAAAGACTTCTCTTAGCTCACCGATGGTCAGCAGAAAGCAGTGTAAACTAATTGTTCAGTTGTAATTTAGAGAAGCTGTATATCGCTATACATAAAGTTTATATGCTTATATTCGGTTACCCGGCCATATATATACAGGCTTAACATGAGAAAGGTCTTCCGAAATGTCTTATCACAATGATCATGCATGCCGTCATTTTGACTATAGTCTCAACCGCTATATAGCAGAGTAACAAACCTGTCCAATATCTTGCAACGACACTGAAATATTTAGTGTTAAATATTTCACATAATCTGCATGCGGCTCCTGATAAATGGTTCAGTTCCAGTGAATATCATTCTCAACATGAACACCACTTATTCAACTCAATATCATATACCCTTGCCCCAAAACTACCATTTTAAAATCGGAAGATACTTAGTGATGGGAGGGGGAAAAAAGGTTTCTACATTCATAAGCTATTTTAACTAAGTGATTGAATGTTGATTATAATAAGTATATCTTTAGTTAAACAACCCCCGATGCAAGAATACGGCCTACAGATCGGAAAAATCTTCTTTACAAAACAAGTTAAAGCGTAAATCTTTATTATAAATCTTACCAAGTTTAAATCTTTATAAAACAACCCAAAAAATCAGCAGACGAGGATCAAGAGCAGCAAATATTCCGAGGTTTCACTTGGTGATATAAAATTCTTCTTCAGTATCCAACTGAGCTAAACAAACTAACGGAATTCAACAATTTAATTTTTTTTTCAATTTAAGTTTGAATAAGTTTCGCACCTTAGGAAAAACAATGAAAATTATCTGCATCATTGCATGGGAAGCTGTAGAATAGAAACGTCACTTGCATCGTTTGGGAGTTGAACCAGCGTTGGGAAGTTCACCTATAGGGTTTTTTTTTTACCAAAATGGATTTTTACAATCGCAGCAGTGTTCATAAATCGTGGTATAAAATGAGGAAAACCAAATGTGAAAGGCATTCGTTCGAAAAGTCAATACAAGTACAACAAGACAGGGAAAAAATAAACTCTTTCAAGAGATTTCATGGCTACTGCATTTGCAACGAAAACTTCAGGTACATTGCATTCTATTTTCACAATACATTCACGGCAGTAGCTTTAGATATTATTAAAAAAGAAAGCCTATTTATCGTTATCATTTATTTTATTTTACTATATTTCAGGCTTTCTGGCAATTTTGATATGTTTTGCGCTGTGTGGCAACGGCTTCGCACAATGTTTTAAAGATAAAAACCAGAAAGCATTGTGTGAAAATATTAAAAACGACTTGAACAAGTGCCAGGTGTTGATAAAAGATCTACTGCAATGCCTTATTGATGAGGTAAGTTTCATAACTAAACTAACTTTACATTGGTTAGCTCTATCATTTCCCAGTAAACTCTTCTTCCTTACGTTTACATCAAGGATCATCTCCTATTGATCCAGTGTCACTACGGGATAAAACCACTAAACAGATTGTAAAATACTGGATAATGTATAGATAGCTCTATAGAGAACTAAATATACAAATTTTAAATATTTCGGCGGAGGAAAAAGTGGTGTTTATAGAATGAACTGAAATACTCTTCAATCAAATACTCTTCTCTTGTATGACCATGTCAACGATTAATTTCTCTCTTTTAGTGCAAAGACACATCTTTATCAAGCAATTATGACTGCACGTACCCGCCTAAGAAAAACATTTCTGGATATAATGCAACAAGGCTTGACAAAAGTTTGAAGGTAGGAAAGGACACAATGACTGAAAGATACATTTGATCATTTATTATTTTGGTTATTTTCGATTGCATTCATAAGGGACATGTAATGATTTTAGATTGAAGATTTTTTGCAAGAAATTTTGAAGAGGATCGTGGTCCATCAAATTTACAATCACAAGATCAGACGCCATTTCAAAACCGTGAAATGCTACGCAAAAACCAAATTAGTTGGCCCTCAGCTTAACCTGATGATGACATGGATGAACATTATAGTAAGAAAAGATTATCATTCAGTGCATACTAGGAAGAACAGTTTAGAACTGATAGAGCTATCCAGTATAAATAAAGTTAGTTTAGTTTAGGTTTCCTCCAGTAGTAACACTGGATCAATAAGAGATGATCCTTACTGGATCTCTAGGAAGAACAGTTTAGAACGGATAGAGTTATCCAGTATAAATAAAGTTAGTTGAGTTTAGGTTTCCTCCAGTAGTAACACTGGATCAATAAGAGATGATCCTCACTGGACCTCTAGGAAGACCAGTTTAGAACTGATAGAGCTATCCAGTATAAATAAAGTTAGTTTAGTTTAGGTTTCCTCCAGTAGTAACACTGGATCAATAAGAGATGATCCTTACTGGATCTCTAGGAAGAACAGTTTAGAACTGATAGAGCTATCCAGTATAAATAAAGTTAGTTTAGTTTAGGTTTCCTCCTGAAGTAACACTGGATCAATAAGAGATGATCCTTACTAGACCTCAAGGAAGAACAGTTTAGAACTGATAGAGCTATCCAGTATAAATAAAGTTAGTTTAATTTAGGTTTCCTCCTGTAGTAACACTGGATCAATAAGAGATGATCCTTACTGGACCTCTAGGAAGAACAGTTTAGAACTGATAGAGTTATCCAGTATGAATAAAGTTAGTTTTCTCCTGTAGGTTTCCCTTAGGACTAATTAATTTATTTATTTTTTATCCAGCAAAGAGGACTTGGTTTTTCAACTGCCACACAAATTAGCAGCCCCCCAAAACTCACCTCGACTGGCGCGAAATCGAAGAAAGACTGGTACTACGTTCGTGTACAAATGTTGATCAATTTGAATCACGATATTGCGGATATACAGGGATATTTCAACAAGCGTCACTGCATTATCCCAAAGTGTTCCACGACATCCTAATAAATCCACCTGGAAATGGAAATCAAATTAAATAAAATTAAATAATTTTTCTTGTGAATTTCATAAAGTAGATGCTATGCATCAAGTAAAAATCTTATACATTAAATGTTTAGTTGATATTTTACTAAGCTACGATGACTGTAGTTAGAAGTCGTCATCTTAATTAATTGTTATAATTGTTAATTAATTGTTAATTAAGTGTTAATTAATTGTTACAATTGTAATTTGTAAAATGTAGCATTATAAGTTTGAAAAAATAAAGTATTTGCAAGATAACTATGATGTATAAAATGTTTGAAGATGCAGGAATGATATACTTTTCTATGTATACTATTGATATACTTTTCGTCATCACAAACAGAGTTCTTGCTAGAATATCATACGGCACTGACCACATTCTGAGTTTGGCCTTTGTGAACAGTTAAGGTTGGGGCAGGGGTGACCCTTGCTTGTGCCACCCTTTTTCTCCCTTCCCGACCCAAAGAGGTCCTGGCTTTTGACTGACTCTATTTTTTCTGAGACCAGCTGGCAAAGACTATAGTTAGGAGAGCTAGTTACAACCCTCTGTTTAAATGAACATTGTTATAATTACTGGCTGATGTCGCAGGAAAGATCAGACAGCTTAAAACTGTTCATTGCGCTCCAACATTAACATAAAACACTGATTCAAAAGGGAGAGGTTTTCCCAAGTGATCAACTGAATCATCGCTATAAGATCCCTGTCAGATCTATCGTTAATTGCTTGTCGTAATCAGGCCAGACAACCTACGAAATAATCCGAAAACTCTTAGCTTATATCATGCAAGTTACCGTTCTTGTATTTACTAATGTCACAAATATAGACCCTCGCTAAATGGCGGTCAGAAACCTGCAGAAAAATAATTTGAGTACAGCTTCCTTCCCACTTATTTCTATTACAATACATACTCCCATCATTTCACCCCCAAGACTTGGGCAAATTGCTCTTTTTGCCCTCGCCTCGGCTCTGCATGAGAGTCCCTGGGGAGCAGAGATAAAGCGAAACAAATGCTATACTGTTAACTCTTAAACATGTCTTCATGCACTTGGCATATAGAGCCCAAATCCCATTAGTGCTGAGAAATGCAGCAAACACAAGACTTTAACAAGACTTTTGGGCATTCATTGAGAGAGGGAGTACCTTTCACAGCGACTCTCTTAAAACGTATACCCCTAGGGTAAGACGGAAACGGTGTTCCTGTGGCGGCTGTATGTATTTTAGGCAGTTGATGAACTAATTATCAAGTTCTGATTTGAAGCTTCTGACCACCAAATCGATGCTCAAAACTTATATATCAACGTCGGAAGATTTAGGAAAGGGAAAAATTAGTTTCCAAAGCTACTATATTCATAGACTATTTTAACGAAATGATTGAATATTGATGATAATAATTGTCTTTAGATAAGACCAAACTTGATGCAAACATTTCACGATGAGAAATCTGAAATTCTCTCACAAGAAACGATTTGAAGACTTGAAATTTTAACATGTTTCAAACGTTATAAAAACGAGCATTCAAACTATCAAACAAGGGTAAAAACCAGCCAATCTTAAATGGTTTCACTTGCTGGTCTGAAATATTTCTCCAGTATCCAACTGAGCAAAACAAACTCGCGGAATTCGACAATTTTTAATTTTTTAGTAATTTCAGCTTTAATAGGTTTCGGGTCCTGACGAAACACAATGAAAATTACCTCCATCAATGCATGGGAAGCTGAAGAATAAAAACGTCACTTGTATCGTTTTGGAGCTGGACCTGCATTGGGAAGTCCTCCTGGGGTAATTTTTTACCAAAATGGATTTTTACAACGGCGGCAGTGTTTTTATCCATGGTATAAAAGGAGGAGAGCTAAATGTGAGATGCATTCGTTTGAAAAACTCGATACAAGTACAACAAGACTGGAAAAAAAGACTGTTTAAAAAGACTTCATGGCTTTCGTATTTAGCAAGAAAACACCAGGTATATGCTGTATTTCATTGAACAATATCGTTCGGTAGCTGTTTCGTTGTCAGTTTTGCTTATTGCAACTCAATCACTTACCATTGCATGGCGTAGTTAACTATAGTTTATTCAAAGATTTACACTCAAATCTTTTGCCACTTTTTAGGAGCTTCCTTCCTTGTCACAGTCCTGATAAGTTTTGCCATGTGTGGACACAGCTTTGCACAATGTCTGAAAGATAATAAAGCATTATGTGAAAATGTTGACAAAGACTTGAGCAAGCTGCAAACGCTGATGAAAGATCTACGACAATGTCTTATTGCGGATGTGAGTTTCCACGAACTTTATTTATACAGAATAGCTGTATCAGTTTCTGAATAAACTTATTCTTTATTGGCTGCATGGCTTCTTAGAGGTAAATATTCTCTCATTTAGTGCATAAAGACAGCTCTTTCAGGCAAGAAAGACTGCACGAGCCCGCCAAAGAGGACCATTCCTGGATACAATAACACGAGGATTGATAGACGCCTGAAGGTATAGGATTGAGATATAAGATGTCTGGGTGAAACGAAATACTACAACTGATGATTCAACTAAATTTGCTTATTTTTTCTCGCACATCTTAATGCTTTTAGACTGAAGATTTCTTCCAAGAGATTTTGAAAAGAATCGTCAGACATCAAGTTCACAATTATGAAATCACACGCCATTTCCAGAGCGGAAAATGCAACAACAAAAGCAGATTACTGGGTCCGCAGCTGACCTTGATAAAATTATGGATGAACAAAATAGTAAGGGCGAATTATCATTCATTTCAATATCCCATGCAGTTAAAAAGCTTCAACATTTTAGAACCTCAACTGCACTAGACAATTCAGCAACTTTCAGTTATACTTTCGAGATTCTTGTTAAAAAACTTCAAACTTTACTTTGGCAAAAACTCCAGCTAGATCATGCAGAGAACTAACAGGGAAAACGCTCAAAGAAGAGCATTTTCTGGAAGTGTTATAGTCAGAGCTACCTTGTATACATAGTTGGCAATCAGTTTATTATACTCATTCATTTTCCAGCAAAAAGATCTTGGTTTTTCAACTGTCACCCAGAGTAGCAAGCCAGCCAAGCTCACCACAACTGGCGCGACGTCGAAGAAAGACTGGTACTACGTCCGCGTACAAATATTGGTGAATTTAAACCATGATGTTGCTGATATGCAAGGCTATTTTCAAAGTAGTTCTTGTGTCATTCCAAAGTGTCCCAATAAATCGAAATAAACCTTCCGGCATGGATAATAATATGAATGTTTTTCTCGTGAATTTCACAAAGTAGATGCTGTGCATCAAATAAATATCTCATAAATGTAATAATTAGCCGTAAATTGGATAAAATTATAGATTAACTTGGGTTGTAGCTGGAAGTCATATAAACTTGATTGTTATAATTTGTATCACGTTAATACAATAATAAAGTGTTTCCAAAAAGTATGATGTATAATAATCACTGAAGAGTTGGTATATTGTATTGGCAAGGTTTTGGCGTAAAGAAACAGCGCATGTTATATACCATATGATCTGTTGAATTCATTTCTGTGTCGCTTAGAACATGTACGTTGGAACACACCCTAAAATAACCTGACGCACTGAAGAGTTCATTGCTAATTCAAAAATGGTTTAGATCTCCCAGGGAAAGTACATAATCTTAAAGACAATCGTAAACGTGGGTAGTTTTGTTGTACACACACCTCATGCAATTGAATTGTCTGCCCACAAACAGACTACTTAATTGCCTAATAAAAAAGTACCAAGCAATTCAGATTGCCGCGGCTAATCTATCGCGCATCCAGAAAGCATTCAAAACAAAATCATCAGTTGTAAAAGCTTCATATAACCCAAAATTTAGGGAAGAGATTCTCGTATTGTGATGCATGATGCATGGTTGAACGAATGGAGAAATATAGAATAATAATGACTGTATCTAATCAAGTCTAGCAACACATAAATTGGTAACATCGCACCATTACCTTTGAGCATATCCCGTATGATGAGTTTATAACTTCGAAGGAGAATTTCTGATGATACCATTGGAAGGAACCAAAACAGAAATCTAGTTGAAAAAATGAAATCTTTGTTTAGACTTTTGAGACACTTCATAGAACATCGCCCACGTAATATTTACATTAAACTTATGACGTTTTAGAACCGGGTTTTGCACAGGAGGGCTGGACAGGGGAAAACCAATATGCAAATACAGTTTTGGTCGTTTCCTTTCGCTTTCGCGGGAACCTGCAGAAAGCTAATGTCACTGCCTGAAAGTTTTCGTAAAAATATCATCCTTGCAAGGTTGCTAAAAAAGGGCCACATACAACGCAGGACACTGGGTATATGTCCGCGTGGTGGCTTCATCCGGAAATCTTTAGTTGCAAAATGTTTCAGTATTGTTGCAAAATTGCTATTCTTATTTTCTATGATTATTTCGGATTCCCAGGGTGCGTATTTTGTGATACTAATAGAAGAATACCTGAAGAATACCTGGCATTGATAGAACAGCTTCATCTCCTGGAAAGACTTCGCAATCCTTCGCATCGTTTTTGAAATCATCACTTAGATTCCCTTCAAACATGTAGAAAAAAATATCAAAAATCAAAGAACAATTATACAGAATGACTTATTCTGCATGTCAATCATGGGTACGAACATCTGTATAGTTTATTATTTAATTAAAAATTAAAAGGTGGAAGTTTAGCTGAAGAATTTCCAACAGCTTATTTGAAGATGTTTTACAAAACAAATACACTCGCGGTTGTTAGAAATTACCTTATTTCTTACGCTTTCCCTGTTTGCAAACAACAAACATATTAGTCTACTACAAAATGTTTCACATAAAAACTTCTGATTATATTCATTCAAAGTAATACAATTATATACTTTGAGCTAACAAAACTGATACACTAACTTAGAAATTATTTTTAAAGCAATTTCTAAGACATTCCTGACACAGTGTCGATAGTAACTAGTTGATAAGTTAAATAAGGAAGAGTCCCATAGTAGGAATACTGTAACACGATACTTGTAGGACAACGTATTCCCAGAATTTTTTGAGAAGGACTAGAGAATGATCTGATCTGAAATACTGTAAGAATTAGGAATATTTTGATGATGGTATCCATCAACTTACAGGATTTGCTTCAAAAATGGAAACAAAAACACTGCAAACAAACAGACTTTATTTGACACAGGGGAAACTTTTAAAACTTCAAGTTTGTTTGCTTTTGGTATATTTACAAGCAATTTACCATTGTTCAGTCTAATATAAAGCAAATATATTTCAAAATAGCCTATATTTAGGTGATCTATTATATATTCATATAAGTGAAAAACATCCGGTAAATATGCAGCGAAAGTACATGGCTATAAAAAGAGTCCCGTTTTGATAGAAATGCATCAGTTCATCATTTGGACCACAGCTGACAAGACTTCGAAGCATACAAGACACTCAGGAATAATAAAATGAATATCATCGGTATGTTTAAACGAGAACTTTATGCTGTGTAGAGAAATCATTTTTAAGGGTTATATTATAAGAATCTTGGCTATAACTACTGCGCGTTTAATTTTCACTCCAAAAAATAAAGTCTGTCAAATTTCTGCACATGTAACAAATGAGACTGAGAGAGATAGAGAGATTTCTAGAGAATGTGTATAAGAAAATATCATAAAGTTATATATTAGCTGCTTCATACTTATGTAAGTCAGTTTATAGTTGTAAACGAGTAAAGTTGTTCTTCAGTAGCAGCATATTATAGAAGAGTTAGATTTAAAAGATGATCATAATGTTGTAGAAGGACAAAGGCTAAACACAGATTGGCAAATTCAGGCCCCAGTTACGCGATACCGTATTAGTTTTCAAACCGATCTTTGTGTACCAGCAACTGACGCCTATCTGATATGGAAAGTAATCCAGTATCGTGTATAACTGGGATCTCACAGTAGTTATGGTCTCACTTGATCTAATTCTTCTATACCTACCCAAGTACCTTGTAATCTTTCTCTTGCATTAATCTATACCGTTTTGAGTGGTTTGAAAACTCTGACTTTGAAAACTGAAAAATATTCATTCAACTTTTGAGTGGTCAATTAACTAGACGTATTAATAAAAGGTTTTAGTTAATAATCTCCACTTAAGTTTAAGGAGATATACAGATAAGAATAGTAGGCGGACGCTCCCAAATCGGTTTTCGCGTGCTTGGGAAGGTCCCCAACGAAGCTGAATATTAAAACATTAAACCATTAAACCATCGTTCTTATTTTTTTGGATATTTTACTTCGCTATATAGTTTTAAGTAAATAATCAACTTCTTATTTTTGAAGAGGAAGACGGTAAAAAGTTTGAAAAAAATCGACTTAAAAGTAGTTTAGAGTTTTGAGTTTCTCGTGGGCTGAAACGTTTCTAGGATTCACTCACGTGGATTGGGGGAAAACCAAGTTAACACGTATAGCTCTTTTGAATATATTAAATGAATAATGATATACAGGGAAATTCCCTAGAGCCAGGCCATGCCACTTTTCTTCTACGCCCGTGGAAACTGACCTCGATTCAACACTGGATATATATATAGCTTAACTAATATGAAATCAATAAACTTGAGAACCCAAACATTATACTTATCAACTTTTGTTTTTAGATACACTAAAGCCGTTGAGCGTGGTTTGTTTGTTCATACTCATGAATGTTATGCTTCACAAAACTATGGGAAGGCAACTAAACGATAGCTCCAAGTTGTACCATTATCAAAACCTTTTCAAAACAAGCATGTTTGTGCATAAACTTGCTTCCGACACAGAGGAAAATATAGTAAGTTTGATAACCCCTTCTCTCCTGCATTGTCCAATTTCCCAAAGGATAAATTGATTAAGACAACTCACTGTACATATCTGATATATATGAAATAAATTACATTAAAACTTAATGTTTTTTTTGCAGAAAAACAATCCAGTGTTTGGTTACACTGACGCTCACAGGATGAGAGCAAAACTCGTTTGTAACGTTACATACGGTTACAAACACAACAAAGATTTCACGGTAAGTTGCGTTTTTTTGTCCTTTCAATGAGAGTTGGTTAACTTGGCCTCTTAATTAAAGTCGTTATCAGTATTGTCTTATGTCACACTGTGTTCTTGGCAATGGAAAAACGTATATTGACGTTTACTTGCAGGAAAAAGACGACTTAATCCAGAATAAAAAAACGCTAACAGCATTTACAAAGCCATTGGACAAAGTAATTGCAGATCTTAAAAACCAATCCAGCCCGTCTCCTCTGAGCGATATACAGTTAGTTGGTTACAAGGTTGTGGATATGATTTTGACGATAAAATATGTCGTAAGTATAATAATAACTTATTTCCTGTCCTCCATCTTCCAATACCCTGTAGTAACACTGGATCAATAAGAGATGATCCATACTGGACCTCTACGAAGAACAGTTTAAAACTGATAGAGCTATCGAGTGTAAATAAAGTTAGTTTCGTTTAGGTTTCCTCCTGTAGTAACACTGAATCAATAAGAGATGATCCTTAAGGCTAGTTTCCACTCCGAAAAAATATACTTTGGATCGAAACGGACAGGAAAATTTCCTTTGTGGGTAAATTCTCAGGTGGCGTTTATACAAAGGAAACTTTCCTGTCCTGTCCGATCCAAAAGAGAATTTTCCTGAGTAGAAACTATCCTTTACTGGGTCTCTAGGAAGAACAGTTTAGAACTGATAGAACTATTTAGAAATCAACGAATTTATTAATGGTTTAAAAACATTTCGCTAAACAACTGTTCTTACTTTCAACAGGAAAGTCACTTGCATTACGACGCATCAAATTCCAGCCAGACAAAGACGATCCTGCCATTTTATCAAACTGCCTTAAAAACCAGCCTAGGAAATAGAGTTGTTGGTTTACTGAAGTGTTTAAGAAACGAATTACTTTTTTCTGCTCACTTCTATCAAGCTAAGATGAAGGAACTAAAAAAAGCAATTTCAGCAAGCTCATAAATGAACATAAGTGAATTATACTATCTATACGTAATTGCATGGTTTGTCATTGCATATTTGCAATGTTTAGAAAGTAAACTTTATAAGTTGACCATAATGATAAAAAAATTAAATAATTTCAAAAATTTTCATAAAATATATTGAAATGAACTTTGCATGAACTTGACAATTAGATATCCAAGGTAATAATATAGTACGTGTAAGAGAAAAGAAAAATATTTAATAAAATTTGTATTTAAATATAATCCATTTGTGTCGAGTTTATTAGCGTATTATGAGTAACAACTCTATGGTAATATTTCATGTCCAGAATCCACGAATATAATCCTAAATTTTAATCCTAAACCTGAGCCTAATCTTTAACTTAAGGATTAGAATCATGGATTATATTTGTGGATTCTAGACATGAAATAATTGAAATTATCACCATATCGATGAGTCTATGGCTTCACAACGTCGCCATGCATTGCATTTGCATAAAACGTAAGGAAATTAGGGGGATTTAGGAACAGACGTTGACAATGTAAACATCATTGTCAGGGGAATTGAAACTATGCACATTTAATCCCCGCAGGTTAGAAAGTAGAATATATAAATGATCATTTCATCACAACGTCACGAAGTTCCTTTTACTTTCTATCGTCAGACAAATTACTGTATTTGAAACTCGGGGATTTTACTTTCAAAACAGGGAATAACGCCTGAAAATAGATTGAAAATTTCATAAAAAAAAGGGAGAGAAATGAATTATTGAAAGGCCACAAGAAGCTTGAGACGAAGTTCGCATATGGGCCAGTTTTACAACGGGGAACTACATAATCTCCTCTCCTCAAGTTTGCACAGTCGCTTTACAAAACTGCAGAAATGATATCAAATAAAGCAGTTCAACCTTTCTAACTAAAAAGTGAAACTAAACTCCCGATTTACGCCTAACAAAATTGTATTATACATTCATAAGATTCAAAATTGTGAAACCGTTTGAAACCTTTTACCTAAAGCTGTATGTGTGTCCTTGCATGCCGTCTCCCTTTCATCGTCCTAGCTTTAATCTTAGGGTGTTTTCATTTAAGCGAACGAACTCGTCAAAACGGTCATATTTTGAATTGAAATAGAGGATTTAGTTAAGAATATAGCGGTGAAAATGTATTTCTTGTGCCAGGCAGATGTAATAATAATAATATACTCGAATGCAGAGTTCGTGAAACACGTCTTGAAACACTCCCATGCAGTAATCTGTCTGTACTGAATTTCAACAGGAACTGTCTGGCTGTTTTAACTGTATAACGGAAAGGGCCCGGCCTTAAAGGTATTTTTATGATATCCCGCTTTGGGATATCCATGGGAATAAAGCTATTGCACTAACGTTAAAAAAAGAAAGTACCTGTATCAAAGTCTTTACCTGTATCAAAGTCTACACACTTTATGTATAATCCTTCTTCATGTATAAACATCGTTTCTAAACCAACTTCTGTAAATTACTCTCGCCATGCAGTAACGTAGCCTGCTGGATGATTTACTCTTGCCATAGTTTTGATATTTGAGTTGCATGGTATTCAAGTTCTAAAAAAAGAATAATTTTAATAAAATTTGCATAGCGGGACATCATCAGACCAATACGCCAATGATCATAATCTTTCCTGAAACACTTGCCTATATATGAAAATCCGGTTGGAAGGACGAGGTGGATTTGAAACTCAAAATGTGCTTGAAACTAGGTCTATTTTTGTGGATAATTTTAGCTAGTTTCTCAAGTATTACACCCGAATTAACGAAGGGAATTCCAATGTCATCCATGAAATCGACAAAAATATAATTTGACAGCTGGTCCCACATGAGGATGTCAAACAAAACGGTAATACCCGAAAAAATGAAATGACAGCAACAAAAGGGACATAAAAACTGGAAGATTCACACACAACGCATGCATTCACTTGAGTTGTTACTGCTGTTGGGAAAACATTAAACTCAAATCTTTCTTAATTGAAGAAGAATACTGTCTTAAAACTTCACACATGGACAAAAAAGGTAGGCTCAATTTGAAAATATTGTTTAGTAGAAGTTTTTGTTGAGAAATTAGCACCTCGGGAGGTATAATAGACAGTCCTGCCAGTTCAGTTATTCAGATATGGGACCATCACGTTACAATATTTCTTCAATTAGTTTAGACAGAACGGGCTAAACTCAGTTGCGTTCGAGCTAATGGATCTTTCTTATTTTGAAATAAATATAAAATACTGATGTTAGAGAAAAACTATACTATCTAAGACGACAGTAACTAATATAGAAATATTTTCTAGGAATTTCGATACTTACAACATCGGCTGTTATTTTGCTGTTGTTTCGTTGTATGCTCATGACTGAAGGTCGCACGTCTATGGGCTACCAGTTCCTGTTCCTACAAACCAAGACGGCACTGGATGTGACCGAGACGGCTTACGTAAGAAACTAGTCCACTTTATCCTAGAAATAAATGAGCAGTATTATTGTAAATACAAGTCAAACCATGCCTGGTATATATGTAATGTAATGTTGAATAATTTTCGTCACAAACTAACAGTGGAATTGATTTTTTTAACATATCAAACAGCGTACAATAAAGGCAAACCAGACGGCAGTCGAAGCATTGAGAGGAGGTTTTGGTGTATCTGAGTGTTGGAACTACACTTTGGATGTGAGTTTGTTATCTTAAATCAATAAGTTTAAGATTATTCTTACGGGATCTTTAGAGAGAACAGTTCTGAACTGATAAAACAATCCAGTTTAGTTTAGGTTTCTTCCTGTTGTAACACTGGATCAAAAGAGATGATCCTTAAGAGATGGACCTCTAGGAAGAACAGTTTAGAACTACCCAGAACCATCCAGTATAAATAAAATCGGTTTAGTTTAGAGAACAGCCTACAAAATTACCCACAAGTGGTAAAAGTCTACGACACCTTCTATTTGCAGGAGGATGAGAGACTGGCTGACAATTACGGCCGTTTAAACATCTTCAAACGTTATGCCAAAGATTTAAACATCACCATTGATGTTATTGTTTCGCTTGGAAATGTTCAACGCGCCATCAAACACAAGGTAAGATCAACTGTACGATCACCACGTTGCTAATCAGTTTGTTTCGAATGCCTTTCAAATGCCTTTAGTTTATCGCTGGATATTCCAGACTACAGGTGTACAATACCACCACATATGAAAGATTCAACTAATATTGATAATTTTTTTTCATATCAACAGCGTAAAAGTCTTGGCTTACCTCGCATACAATCCACAACAACCCATGTATCCAACATGAATATCAGCAAGAAAAACATGGACGTAATCCAGGCAGCTCTTCTTTCAAACTTGGAGAAAAATCTCTTCTTGATGCTGAACGATTTTGATCTGCGTTCGCAAAAAACAGCATGAAAACTTTGCATGTGTTATTATTTCATAGTTTCATCGTATCGATGTTCATAAAGTAAAGCTTTGTAAGTTAAAAAAAAAAGTTGTAAAACAGTATTCATTATTATGTCATCATTGTATGATTGACAAGAACAAAAAAAACAGTTATCTATCTTTAACTATATTAGTTAGCTTGTAACCATACGTCATATTCACCGTAATTTATAGATTAAAAAGACTTAAAACAAAAAATTTTTGTCAGTTACTTTTTGTCAGTTACCCAACCACTGAGCTATATAATAATTCCTGGAGGACCGGCTCCTGACCAGAAAGTGAAGCAAAAAACATGGCGGATTTTGAGTTTTGCTGACGCCACATGGTCCCCTTTGCCCATGGTAATTACCACTGACATACCGCGATACAAAGTCAAAAACGTGTCCATCACCCTCCCGATTTTTGACTGATATCAGTTTTTGAATATTTTTTTATTCATCTTTCCCGCCTCACTCTAAATTAAAAAATGCCGAAGTTTTGCTGCGTTATTGGTTGTCATAATTCCTTCTCGAAGGAGAATATTACCTCCCACCGGTAAGATATTATGCAACTTCATAATTTTGTAGTTTTTATCGCACAAAAACACGATTTTGTTTGCACGTATTGAGGAAATGGCGTCATTTTTTATTTTTCGCACATTCAGAAATAGTTGTAAAGAAATTTTAAGTAAAGAAAGGGTTGAATTTCTGTGACCTTTGAGATAATTTGCATTCTATATTATCGTGTTTTGACTGTTTTCAGTTTTCAATGTGTTTCGTGCCACAAACGGCAAAATTAATTTAACTTTTTTAATTGTGGTAAGGCTTGAAAATACAGTGATATCATTTTTTTTTATTCAATAGCTCTAAAATCAAATTTACAAGAACATGTGCTAGAAAATACATACATATACTACATACACACATGTATTTGATATACCGCATTAATATATCCATACTAGAAAATTTGAATTTTTAACATTACTCTAACATTCAAATATAGTTTTCCTGATGCTGAGAAGAGTCCTGAGTTACATGCCTTATGGATGAGAATATAAACAAGAATGTTCCAGTTGAGTTTACTCCAATTAAGGGAAGTCGTGTGTGTTCTGAACATTTTAGTGTGGACATGATGCAAAAAGTTGGGCAAAGGACAATGCTGTTGCCATATGCTATCCCAACAATATTTAAAAGTCTCAGGTTTGTGCCTCTTTTAATTAAATTGGTGAACAATTAAGATTATAATTTTCTTTAAGACTCAACTCCAAGGAGCTGTTCCTAACTACTGCAGTGCAAATCATATTATGTGAAGCAATATTCATTAACACTAAAAAAAAATTAACAGCCTGAATTGCCATACATTTTAGGTTGCAAACATATATAAGTTTTTGCTGGTCACCTGCAATGCATATAATGTTGTCACTAGTGGAATGTATAACTCGATAGTGCATGAGTACCATCTTGTCTTGCATGTCTTGTGTGGCATTTTACACCATAGATAAATGATTTAAACATAGATAAATTTTTATTGTGTTATCAATATTAAATTTAACATTTCTGTCAAGGTAATTTCACAAAATGTGGAACATGTAGAGGTTGCATCAAAAGATATTGCAATTTGGATGACTGGTAGAGATTGTGTAAGTACGCAAGAAGTACCTGGACTTATGGTAAGTGAAGACATTGCAGTAGATTTAGCAACTGGGAGTACTGGTAAAGTAGTTGTTCCAGGTGTCAGTGATAAAAAGGTAAGCTCTCATAATGTAAGTGTACAAGGTAAAGAGCTCACTACAGATAATGTAATCACACATGGAAGAAAAAGAAAGCCTTCAGATGAAGACTTTGATGAGATGGCTATTAACGGGGTAAGTACTCCAAAAAGAATACATGCAAGCCATGTGAACCATGATCACACTTACCATATCAGTGAATCTCCTCGCAAAATGAAGAAAAATGTTGATAATCTTGTAAACAACTTGACTAATTTGCAGAAGAAGTTTAAGGTGTCAAAACAAAAAACAAGAAGGCTAAAGAGAAAGGTTAGCACTTTGGAGTCAGTGGTAAGTGAACTGAGACAGAGTAATCTCATAAATAGTGATTGTGCTGCAATTTTGGAAACAACCTTTTCCGGAGTTCCAAAGGAACTGATGAAGAGGTTAGTGTCGCAAAAGAAAAGCAAATATCCTGGGGCGTATCCACCCGAGCTAAGGTCATTTGCTCTGACCTTAAAGTTTTATTCGACGAAGGCATATAATTATGTTCGGAAAAGTTTTCAGCTGGGGTACCACACGTATCTGTGATCCGATCGTGGTATACCTCGATGGATGGTGAACCCGGTTTCACGAAAGATGCCTTGACAGCTTTGAAAGCTAAGGTCCTCGCTGCAAAAAGAAAAAGTGAAGAAGTTGTTTGCGCCCTCACCTTGGATGAGATGTCCATACGAAAACATGTTGAGTGGGATGGAAAGAGAATGCGTGGCTATGTCGACCTCGGAACGGGCATTGAAGACGACTCTCTACCTGAGGCAACGGATGCTCTTGTATACATGGCAGTTTGCGCAAACTCAAGTTGGAAAATACCTTGTGGATATTTTCTAGTAAATGGACTCACTGGTGAAGAGAAGGCAAACTTGACGAAAGAATGCATTCGAAAATTGCACGAAGTTGGGGTGAAGGTGATTTCTTTCACATGCGATGGTCCTTCGACCCACCAGGCGATGTTAAAGGAGCTCGGCGCAATTCTTACACCTGATAGCCTGCAGGCGTATTTTCCGCATCCGTGTGACCCAGAGGCCAAGATCTACGTGTTTCTGGATGCCTGCCACATGATAAAGTTGGTGCGAAACACAATGTCGGACTGGCAAGTTCTGAAGGATGGAGATGGGAACACAATTCAGTGGCAATTTATCGAGAAATTGCATCAGTTGCAAGAATCAGAGGGTTTACATCTTGCTAATAAGCTCCGGGCAGGGCATATCAAATGGAAACCACAGAAGATGAAGGTAAACCTAGCAGCACAGGCGCTCAGTTCGAGTGTCGCTGATGCTTTAGAATACTGCGAAGGTAAGCTGAAATTGCCACAATTTCAGGGATGTGGTCCAACTGTGAAGTTTATTCGTGTTTTTGATCGCTTATTTGATGTTCTGAAATCCAGAAACCGGCTGGCGAAGAATTACAAAGCGCCAATCAGGAGATCGAATTATCAGTACACGAAGAAGTTTCTGGACCAGGCGAGTGAGTACATCCGAAATCTAAAGGGTCCTGATGGAAGATCGATTCTCAAGACAAAAAGAAAGACCGGGTTTCTTGGTTTTCTTATTTGCATCAAAGCAGTTTTGGGATTGGCCGACGATCTGGTTATGGCGAGAAACCAGTGCTAAAGTACCTCTTGACGTACAAGATAAGTCAAGATCACTTGGAGTTGTTCTTCGGTGCTGTGCGAGCATGCGGAGGATGGAATAACAATCCAACCACACGGCAGTTTGTCGCAGCGTACAAGCAACTGCTGATGAGGCACAATATTGAAGGAGGACGCGGAAACTGCGTTGCTCAAGATGACACGGAGATACTGAACTGTGTCAAAGACCAGTGTGAAATTGAAGAAACGCCGACTGGGATCTCAGACGTGGCGATTGCAGGCGATACGACCTGGAGTTGAGAGAGCCAGCTGCCGTCGATCATGACTACTGTGATGTGTCTAATGCCATTGAACTGTCTGAGTACAAGGAGGCTGCAATATCGTATATTGCTGGGTACGTCGCAAAGATGGTGACGAAAAAGATCCATTGCACCCAATGTACAACGGTTCTGACGACGACGAAAGAGAACATACCGGACTTGTTCGTAACATGGAAGACGAATGGGGGTTTGCAACTACCGTCACACGGACTGATTAAGATTTGTGAAGAAACAGAAAAGTGCATTATGCGAATGCTGAATGCTAACCAAGGTGGTTTACCTCGTAGCGCTGGACTATCAGGAGCAATTGCGAAGACGGTGCTGGAAACATGTGTGAAGAGCGGGGTCTTTAGCACGTTGAACCAACACATGTTTGACTCAAGTGCAGTGGACAACCACCTGTTTACTCTGATAAAGTGCTGTTCTCAGAGTTATGTCACGATTCGAATGCATCATTTATGTAAGTTAAGGAATGCAAGTATGCATGAGAAGGTGATACGAAAGCAGTTTTCAAAGCTTGTGTTGTTCAAACACCAGTAGAGTTTACACGTGTCCTGGGCACTCTTGTGGTGCTTTCGAGGTTTGCCTGTATGCCTTGGAATGCAATGTCAATGTAACTGACTATGAACTAATGGAAATTGAAATTTCATCCCTTTCTATTTATATCAATTAATTTTCTACATCTTTACGAAAATTGAAATGACCAAAGACCTCATTTCTCAATATTTCAGTCATAGACATTGTATTTTTCGAAGGTTGGGCGTATCCTGGCACAATAATTTGTGTTTCGAGGAAGAGTGTGCATTGTTGAGAATGCATGGTCAACGGAACCTGCACATTTTAGATGTGTCTAGGGGTTGACAGAGTAATGTGTGTATGCATGGTGTTTGACAACAGTCAATTAATATTTGGCAGATGAACAAATTATAAAATGTATTGATATGTCACTATAGGTAAATATTGTTTTTGTTCTTTATCTTTTCAATGTGTTTGCATTCATGCAGTTCTGTCATTAATTTTGTATTTTTTTTATTTTTTGTTAGACTAAGAGCAACTGAAAAGATTTAACTACAACCATAAAAGAAATTATTTAATATTACTATTATTATTATTAGAATAAAATTAGAAGAAACAAATTATATTTATAGATATCAGATGAACTAAATTAAACTTTTGTTAAACAGGAATATGACCAAACAGACACAAGGGCAATATATGTTAATGTTTGGCTAGCCATGTAGATATTCCATCTTTCTTGACATCTTCCTGAGTTGTCCAAAAAAATTAAGGTATTGCATCGCAGATCCATGGAAGATATTCCTCAATCCTCACTTGTCTTGGTATACTCTTTGTTCAATATTGTAACCAAAAATTGTTGAAGAAGATGTTGTGGTATGATCACACACTGACTTTATGCTGGACAAGAACAAAAAAATCTCATCAATCAGGACGATCGAGTTGCGCTGAAATACAGATCTCAATTGACTGGTCAAAAAATTTATTGTCACATCACCATTTGATGATACATCAGCCAGTGATATCACATTCTATGAAACAAAATCATGGAGAAAACACAATCAGAGAAACAGTCCAGTCAACTATTATTCTTGTTCTCAAAGTATCATGATGCCATTTCATCTGTTTATACATGAACCAGTGATACCACATAATGTGCAAATCTTGTTAAACACATCAACTAAATCATGGAGAAAAGACAATCAAGAAAATCAGCTAGTCAACAATATATATTCTTGCTGTCGAAGTATCATGATTGATGCCAATTAAAGATGCTGGTTGTACATAATCAAAATTTAATTTACCATCACTCATGTGGAGGAATTGGGTGTCACAGAGAGAATGGAGTTCAGGGTGTCACAGAGAGAATGGTTTATATGCTTTGGTAGTTAAACATTGACAGTGTAAATTTGTAAAATATAGCTATTATACTGTAATACTGACATTAGTTTATATTGCACAATAATTCCTTTTCTGTTCATATATATTTTTGTAACAGCAAATTGTTTTATACACTTTATATTTTTTTGAGGCAATACCAGAGGTGTAGCTGGAAGGGGGCTGGAGGGGCTTGGTAAAATTTGGGGCCCTCCTGGGAAAATGAAGTGAATCATTGTTATGCCATCAATAATGCAAAACACCTGATCTGGCCTATTGAAGTTGTCCATCATTAATGTCAAAAAATTCCTAGAATGTTTAGCACAAATCTTGTCTTGAGTCACACTGCTGCCCGCGTAGGTTTTCGATAGCCCCTCTCTCCCCAAAATTCTGGCTACAACTTTGGCAATATATACATTGTATAAATTGTGATTATAGTATATTATTAATTATTATTGCAAAGATGTAGTTATTAAATTATATATGATTACTGTTTATAGTACATGGCTTAATTTACACTTTCTGTCATGGGTAATTGAAAATTGAGATCTAATGTGTTAATTAAAGCATATAATTATATTTATTACTCTTTATTACTTTTAAGGTATACAATTAATACAATGTAAAAAATACTAGCAGGATTTTATTGTGTTATAAAGGTCAGGGATTACAGCCCAGGGTTAAGATAAAATTATAATATTTGACAAACTTGCAAAAAGATCCCTTTAATGGACATTTTTGTTTAATTAATACAAATAAGCCAAACAGAGTACCAGTTGGCAGTACTGCACATATTTGAATGGTTTATTTAACATTGTTTTGCAGTGTAAAGACCCGAAATTACCAAGTCCGACGACAATGATGATGATGATGTTACCAATTAGTTATTAATCAACTATAATTTTGTGTTTACTTATAGCAGAGACTTTATCAATTATTGACAATTGTATTAATACTATTTTAAATAACCAACCACCTGATACTAGAAACTTGAATAAATCATGAATATATATTCTATGAAATCTCTATATTAGCCTTTCTCACGATGACATTTTTGGGGTACTTTCAATTTTCTCAAATAGGATTTAATAAATTATAACCACATGAAAAGCATCAACAGTCCACATACTTGAAGAATAAAATTAAAGCATATTCATCATTGTGAGAAAGGATAACTAAACTTTGACATGTGTATGAGCTATCAGAGGAATATTAAAACTTTTTATGAAATTAAATGCACCTCATTAGTTTGTCACAGTCCTGTATAAGGCCTTAGGCCTACAGAGTCGATGATGCATTGGTTTATTGGCTTCAAAATGATAGGCCTGTTATGGCTGTTAATACCAGTTAGCTAAGAATTCAAATTAGTCATCTGGTTTTCCGGGCTTTTTTGCCTGTAGATTTAAGAACAAATAGTTTACACAATACCATGTTTATCAATACTTTCATTTGTAATTTGTTTTTAACCGCGTGCAAATAATGCCAAATATGTGAGTGCAAATGTATTCCTTGCTTGTTTGCCGATAAAAAGCAATCTCATGATAATATTTGACGTTATTTCGGGCCCTTAAGATTCTTAAAAAACAAAGGAATGGTCAATCAATAATCGATGTCTATACAAAAGTTGTGTCTTAATACCTGTTTCACTTCAAGGCTTCTGACTTTTCTTCTCGCTTTCCTCGGGCTTGTAGAAGTTTAAATATCAGACAGATTCAAAAAGATATTTTTCCTTCGTAAATGCAAAACACCGTATTTGTGGCGGAGGCGTACAAAAGATTCGTATTGCCTATATTCTTTGCACACTTTTCACAGATAAAATTTAAAAAAAAAAAACAGGGGGGAGCATTCTCTTGTAGCGGGCTCATATTTGAGCCTGGTCAGTGGTAATTACCATGGGCAAAGGGGACCATGTGGCGTCAGCAAAGCTTCTGCGCAAGCGCAGAAGGGCGAAATCCGCCATGTTTTTTGCTTCACTTTTTGAGAAAAAAACATTAGGAGCCGGTCCTCCAGGAATTATTATATAGCTCAGTGTACCCAACTGTCTGTACCAATGATATACTGTTTGTACCACTGATGTCCCTATCTGTACTAATGATATACTGTTAGTACCACTGATGTACCCCATCTGTACCAATGATATACTGCCAGTACTGCTGAGTACCAGCCATATCCTGTTAGTGCCCCTGATGTACACATAAGTACTAGTCACATATTGTTATTACTACTCTACTGATGTACCTGTAATTACCACACATATACATTTAGCATCATCGATGTACCTGTAATTACCACACATATACATTTAGCATCATCGATGTACCTGTAACTAGGTGTAAAATATGGTTATTACCACTTATGTACATGTAAATGCAAATGTAAAAATTAATCTCAAACATAATGCTATGTTAAATTTATTTGACTTTATATTCGTATATACATGTACATCGTATGGTCCTTATCAATGTCTTCCTAGACAAAAATGCACAAATTATTGATAAAAAACCTGCCAACTTGTATTCCAAAACTTCACAATGTTTTTTCCCATCAAATAATTTTCTACAAGGCTGTTGACTTATTATACATCAAAATTTATTTATTCTTGTGCAGATCAAAAGCTTGAGAGTTACAACATTGTAGATATTGATGTGACAAGAACATTGCTTAAACTGGTTCACAACGAGGCAAGATTTTCACAAAATACACACTCAGGGAAAATAATTAATATATTTCTAGATATTATATTTGCCTTTAAATATTCCCAACTATGACAAACCAATCTTTAATATATATTTACAATAATATAAATATTTTACCTAAATCCTATAAAACAAGCTTGGTTTCAGTAAGATGCCAGCTTGTGATCAAAATGTTTATTATTTTCATGCATGGGTGATTCCCTGTCATGTGCGTGGCCACCCTATCCTGTTTCTGTTGTTGCATAGGGCATAAGTTTGAAAACAGGAGGGGACACACATATACAATCCTCATTGCCACACACAAACAGAGAATCAACCAGTAAAAATCTACATAGCCAGATATTACAATGCCTTAGCATCAAATGTGGTATAACAACTGCCTAAAATAGACAAAACACTTCTCGACATTTTGACCTGAGGGCCTTCGTCAGGCGAGTTAGTAAGAGTTAATTAATTAATAGGTGTTTTGTCTATTTTAGACAATTGTTATACCACACTTGATGCTATGTTGTTTGAAGACGCTGCCAAGCTGTTTCCTGGTTATATTGGAACGTATCTTTTAGAAACCAACTAATCATTTAAAAATCTACACTGGAGTGGGTGCAAGGGACACTATAGCTACAAGTACTGTGATATCATCGGGTTTCCCTCCTATCGCCTCGATACCCTCCTGCATCCTGGCTTGTTTGGCAAATGGGGAGAGATAATTGGGATCAAATGATAAAGTTCTTGCTAAGTTTGCTAAAGATTCTGCTACAGACTGAATGGAATTGGCAGAGTTGTCCTAGGTGGAAACATATGTTTAGAGTGATATTGTTTGTACATAGAACACATACTAAAAGAAAAACCTAGTTTACCTTTAACTTTGAAACTTCGTCAAGTATTTGTTTCTCTGTCAAATTATCAAAAAGCCCATCTGTTCCCAAAACAACAACATCATCTTCTTCTACTGCAAATGAAGTTTCCTCTGCAGAGTCTAGACTAAGATATGTCACCGAAATATGTCAGATAATTGTCAAAACATAACATTTTTATAAAGATCAGGGAGTTTCAACTTACGTGTCTTGTATAACATCTCCTTCTTGAGCAGGTGGTGGTACGGCCAGTTGAAAAGGAGTGTTAAAATAATGCTGTTGCCCCAATGAGGAATGAACAATATTCTGCTTTCGTATAACAAGAAATCCAGAATCTCCAAGATTTGCCGAATGCAAAGTGCTGCTCTTTTTATCCAGTACAACAATACACGCCGTTGAACTGCCTAGAATATATTAACCAACTATTAGGAAACGATCATTATTGATTCTAGTATGACCAAGCTATTATATAATCCAGTTTCCTGGATAAGGAAAAACTTACCAAACAAAGGTTCCTTATTTTCAGAAATGTCATGGTATGCTTCTGTCATGATCCTCACAGGGGAGGGATTGTCAAGCAAGCCCTGATCAATCAGACGTTTGCAGTTCTCCATAAGTGCACTAGAAAATACCGCAGGATCAATACCATAGTGCCTCCAGCCACCAACACCATCTGCTACACCTAGAAATATACGAAGCTATATCAGGGCCGATACCTTTGATTGTAATCATGCAAAGGTTTCTCAATAATGGTGTATTATGTCATCAAGATTATGTAATCAAAATAAATTGATGATATCGTTAGAACCCCTTGATACCTGTTTGCTATAAGAGGAAATAGAAACCTAATCATTAACTATACTGCTCAACCTTTCCACTCTGTGGGTGGGAATGCCTGATTATATAACTTTATATAAAATATTTATAACAATTTAGAAACAATTATGTAGAATTCTTTTACGGATAAACTACGGACACTATTATGCAATTACCTAGAACATTCCGCGCTCTGTCTTCTGCTACGAAAAAAGCATCTTCCCCAAAAGCGAAGCGTTTATTTGAAGGCGTTACGTCCTTGGAAAAGCCACAATAAGCAGTAACTAGCCGTGTATAACGTCTTGAATTTCCGCATGAGTGTCCTGCATTATCTTGTCGTAACAAGCGCGGTACAAAATACCTGATTTGAGACGCAAAAACTCGTCCGTATACCAAAGGTGATTGCAAAGCCATACCAGGATTACTGCATTTTTGTTTTGTATACTTGTTTTGTACAATTCACGGTTAAAAAGCATGTAGAAAAACCGGTAAATTAGATGAAAACTTCTGCCAAAAACACATTTCGTTCACGGGCAACTCTGGCAGCAGGACTGGGCTCGAATATCTGCATTGCGCAATCGTATTACGTAAGATTATTTCAGGAGGGGCAGTACGCGGGAAAAAATGGGGCGTGGCAGTGGGCGTGGCGGCACCATTGTCTTGAAATCAGACACCATCTGATCAAGGATACAATCTTAAGATACTAAACCTAAGATTTTTGTTTTCTTTATTGAAAGAACTACAAAAATACATATAAATTCTTTCATATATATAATAGAATTAGAAAGCCAACAAAACTATTCACTGAATTTATCCCTTTTGTTAAAAATCAACCATGAATATTCCCTTATGTAATAAATCTGATGTTCAAATATTGTCTGTCTCAAAAATGTATAAATCACAGACACAACATTGAATTGCATTGAATCAAATGCTCGTCACCTGTGCTTTTTAAATTGAACGTTTTTGTGCGGATAAAAATGATGCGAACTAACATTTGCATATCTTCAACATGGCTCATTAAAAACTGCCCAGTAAAATGCTCTTAAATATATCAACAACTAGTAAATTTAATCGCTTGCATTAATCAGTGATGGATTTAAATGACCTGAATCACCATTAGTACCATAGTCTTCTTGTTTTTTCTGCAAGCAGTTTCAATCTAGTTTCATTGTTTTTTGAACAAGCTAATCTTATGAACAATATAATTGCAATCAATACCATCAAACCACCAAGAATAATTAACCCAAGTTCAACCCACTTGATAATTTCTAAATTGTTCAGGACATTCTTCTTTATTTTCTGGGCATTTGATGAGTCAATACGAACATGCTCGTCAATCCACATAATTGGTATTTGGGCAGATTTAACGTTTTCCAAGTCTTGTATTCCTGCCATTGGATCAACCTGAATATTAAACTGTATCCTCTTTGAGGCTTGTAAAAGAATGCCGGTGTTTGGTTCAGACTAAGAAAAGTGTCGTGTTTTTCTTCGTTGGGCGATAATCCGTGAATCATTTTTAGTGACTTGTCACCATTGAGAAAGTGTGGGAGGACACAACAATTGGTGCTTGAAAAGGCACGCAGGAACTGATACTCAATAAACCAGATGGTAAGCAGTTTGGAACACAAAAACCTTTGTTATCAGGGTTAATATTTCCACTTTGGAACAAATACTTTGGAGGATGGAAACGGTATCCATCAATGCCTTCAATTGTGACCTCATCAAGATATTCTACATTTAATGATCTGCATAGTTGGATAATGAAGATGAAAAGCATATCATCTTTTGAGATATCTGGCTTGTAAACTGAACCGTCTGTACCATTTAACATATTTGCATATGGAGAATTCCAAAAACCCAGGTGGCCAAAGTTATTGTTCCATTGCTCATAACAACCAACTTTGTCGACATCACTTTCACCAGTGTTTATTGTAGAGTATTTATCATAATTGGGATTAGGCTGCAATGCAAAAGTTCCCGACACGTTTGGTAACATTCCCTGAAGAAAGTGGAAACGCTTTACCAACCCATCGCGCAATTTATTGTAATCCTCAAACATTGCATCTTCATATCCCAAATAGTTTCATTTACTGTTTTATTTTGAAATAGGTCTTCATGAATATATCTTAGAACACCTGACAAAATCTCATCAATAATCTTAACTTCACCTTTTGTAAAAAGCTCATCAATTACCCCTTTCACCTTCTGCAAAATTGTCACATACGGTATATTCACTGAAGTGAAGTAGTCGTTAGGATCACCAATCAGAGCATGATGTACTAGGGTCAAATTTATAGTTTGTAATTTGGTTGTAATTCACCTTATCATGTCCACGAGAAATATTGAATTTTTGTCGACTTTCGCGATACGAATAGGGACCTTTTTCAATCACAACTGGGGCATCACCTTTCATAACTTCTTCATGATTTGCTATATGAAAGGTGTAGATCTGAAGATATATTGGTATCGTAGGTTTTAGCCATTGATCATACACTTGGGATCCAGGAGTTATTTTGACGTTGTCTGCGATCTTTTTTTTTATAATTTGGTTGATATAGTCGTGCAAAGCAAACGGTAACACGATTAAAATAACACCAACAAGTAGAAGGATAGAATACCTTGTTTTAGGACCGCAACAACCACAGCATTTCATGTTAAAATGTTTTGGAGTGAGAAATTATCCTCACTCAAGCTCTGACACAGCCTGCTACAATATATATTACATAACAATAGACGCAATTCGTGAAAATCAACCCGTGACTGTCATGCGCGCGCGCGCTCCCCCGGGTTGCGCAAAATCCAGGGGGGGAGACTACTGACTCTTTTAGCAAACCTATCGCATGATAAAATTTGCGTTTTTGCGAACAAATTCACGTAAATCGGCGTAATGAAAAATTGACGTTACAAATTACAGTGTCCAAATAATGTAGAGAAGAGTAGGTTTTAAAACAACAACACACTTGTATATTTGCATGATTTTATTTATCCCTCAATTTATATATTCGCTTTTATTTTTCGTCCTTACATCAGTTACATGAATACTTTTTCACAGTAATCAAGTCTGTCAAGTCAATACACGTCACATATACCATTGTGACATTTCAAAGTTAAACCATGACCATCACATCCTCCTTGGCAGTCTGCGTCGTTTGAACATGGATTACGCAACTTGTATTTCGTACATCTTTCCTGTAAAGAGAGAATTTATGATTGGCAATATATAAAATCATTAAAAATATAAATTTATTATTTAGTTCTACACTTTTTGTGTCAAGTTTTCTTTTGGGAAAGAACTACGTATCAACTTATCAGTATCAAAATTGAATATCCAAATAAATGCAGGAATTTTACTAACCAAATTTTTGTCGTCTGGAACCGAACCATCAAATAACCAGGCAATCCCATCTTCTACCTCAAAACCAGCCAGGATTATCAAAGCGACCAAAAGCACAGAAGAAACCTTCATATTTTTCGCCCAAGGCTCGGAGTTCCTTAATTTAATGGCAACTGACTGAGCACTGCTGACGATTCACCTTTGAAAACTCTCATATTTATAGAATCGCTACGGTACTCGTAATTAGAAATGTCAACTAATACCGTTGTTATTAAATTTCCTAAAGATAATGTTTTGCATTTCAATAGGAGAAGATTTGTCAATATATTTGTTTTATATATATAGAAAATTTGCCGAACATTTTATTAAACTGTGTGTGGGCTCCGAATTTGTTTACTTGTCCACTCGAAAACCAGGTTTTCATCACCGCAATTCTTTATCGTTGGTGGCCAGTAGCACCACTAAAATATTGAAGAAATTCATCTTCATTGCACGAATGCAGCCGACAATAGATCCTTAAACCTACTACTAGGAATTACGATTATGAAAAAATCCGCAGTCAGTCAAAATTAAGTACAATCCAATCAGTGTTTAACAGTTTTGTCTTTGAAGAAAACCGATTAAAGGAGAAGTTCAGTAAAGTAATGAATCATACCCCAGAAGAAGCTTGTATACTTGAAGTAAGAATAATTGTGGAGACGAATTTATGGATTTTTACAACTGCAATTGCCAACAAGCTTGAGTTATGTTTATTTTGTCCAATTATTCGTCTCTCCCTTGTGCAAAGGAATATTAAATTTCTGTCTGGTTCAGAGTAAGTGTTAATAACAGCAGACATAACAAATCGTGTGTTATTATGCTCTGATCCGGATAAAAAAAATTGCCATTGCCAATGGCACTTGAAGGTTGCTATGAAAGCTCCGCTTGAACAGAAACAAAAACACCTGAAATTCTGAATAGTTCTATTAACTCATAGATACTGATAACAATTCTTTTGTTACAGAACGAATTGAAGTAATTGTAAAGGCATTCAACGTTACTTTTTCGAATCACTATATTACATCTAATATCTATTTCCAACATACTTTCGTTATACAGGCAAATTTCATACTGCTGGGCAACCTCAATTGACGCTGGTGATATTGCAATGATATTAAAAAATAGAGGTAATCAAATAGTTAAAAAAGTTGTATTCAAAAAAGTAATTCAACTAATTATTAATTAAAAACTAAAGTAAAACTAAAATCATAACCAGCTGAAAGTTTAAAATAGTAAAATAAAAGGCAAATTACAAATAAGAAATCTTGAGAATGCAATATATAACATTGGTTTAACCCAACAAGGCAACAAGTAGGCTGAAACTATGATTTTTTATACCTTTTTTATATATCAAGGCAGAATGAAAAACAATTTAAAAGTAATCATCATGTGGGCGTACGGAATCTAGCCAAGTAAGGCAAAACATATTAGAGAATTGAGTGAAACACGATATGTCATGTTGTTATTTTAGCTAACTTTAAAAATAAGGCTTAATGAATCATGGAATGGAAAGTCAACAAGTGGGATCTTATTGTATGTCGCCAAGAATCCAGGCAACGCCTTTGTCAGGCTAGGCGATGGAAACTGCATAGCTTACTTACAATCTTTCTACACCGAATTAAGGGAAATTTAAAATATACCTATATACACACTCAGGTCTACTATTATCATTCCTAGAAGGACTCGGACAGTACTTGAATTACGTCATGATTCCAACAACCATGTTTTTAAAATTATTTTACGACAGTGTTCTGGGAATCAAACCCAGAAGCCACAAACGCGTTTTTATCATTATCAAAGAACACGTTTTGGTTTGGCCCCAGGCATGGACACTGTTTTTTAAAGCCAAACGAAAAGGAGGGAAACCGGAGTGCCCGGTGAAAAACCCTCCAAAGATAACCTGAATTTCAGGTTACCTGACCGGCGTTCTGAATTTGGTATTTTCATTAGAAATCGTCCGCAATCACAGTCCAGTTTTTATCTATAGTTCACCGTTTCATGCAGTTTCTATTCATCCGAATCGAGTCCCAGGAATAGCTATTCAATTCTTGAGCTTCGCGTCAATTCGATCCTGCTGGTCTAACCTGCGAAGCGCGCTTATCGCCATGCTCTTAGAAATTCAAATGCGCTTTGTCCGACAATGGCAACAAAAATTATTTCCGAATTATTCAAATATGTTCATTTTTGATAAGGAAATGCTTCGTATTCACGACTTGCATGCTTTTTCATTTCAAACCGATGTAGACAACAACACTCTTCCGCGACCCCTTCTTAAGACATACACCATGCACTGTTTTTATCTTTTTTTATACGTTTTGATTACGGTTGACCCAACATGCAACTTACTTAACATGCAACTCACTCAATATGGCAAATATCAAATGTTCCTCACCTTTCGCACCTTTGGTAAACAGTGTACCGAATTTCACTTGCTTCGTTGCTTCATTGCTCCATTCCAAACAGTTGCGTTCTTCTTTAACAACATCTCGACGTTGGGACGTGCAAGAAATTAAACAACATAGTAAGTGTGTCAAAATACGAAAGGTTTTCTTTAAAGGGTTGGCTTTTCAGGCAAGAGGGAGTATACAATACAATATTAACCTACAGTTCAACCACTATATCCCCAGATAACCCCTGCATTATACAAGCCCCAAATTATCATGCAATGTAATATATCATGTAATATAAGAAGTATATTTTCCTTCTTATTCAAACTTCGTCAAGCTAGTCAAAATAATTTGATTGCGTTTTTTTCCTTAATGTTTGAGATTAACTGGATTATCAGATCTTAAACTACAATACGAAAAATCATAGAAATAATACAAGGGAAAGAATACAAACAAGGGAAGCAGAAGAGTGATTGTGTCAAACATTCAATAGTCATTTTTTCTTCATTTCAAACTTAAATAATCCGAATTTAAATGTTCAAAGACGAAAGGGTAATTTTTGTTGCCACTGACAGACGATCCTTCGAACGGTCGCATTATAACAGGCTGGACGGAGAACTTATATAATCATATAAGCACTCGCAATTACATTCGTATTAATCTAAAATTAGGCTAATACGAATTCGTTTTTTTTCGCTGCGTGCGCGTCGACCAAGCTAATTGCATGGTCTTACTTTATTTCAGCATTTTAAAGCCATCATGCATCTTTCGCAGTCGCTGTGGTGGTCTTGAAATCACTCCTGAAATACTTTTCAATCTAACCATGCTAGTTTTTTTGTATAACACCACCTTAAGTCGTTAAAATTCACACGCAAGTGACAAAACTAGGAATGTTTCATTGAGAAAGATCGAAAACGCCCTCATAAGAGCTGCGAGAAATTTTCTGTTATCATGCATTGTCGAAAAGGGTGAAATGTCACTTGATGTGTGAATATACTAGGTTAGACCACCATCAGGAATCAATTCATGCACAAATCATGCACTAACATTAATCATGCATTACTCTAATTAGTATACATATAGTATATACCTCAACCAGCTTCTGCTTGTACACCCGTCTCGTCGTCCATCATCTGATCCTGCGACGATAAGTTCATCATCTGATCCTGCGACGCTCCTTCAACATCTAATTCATCACTGATCCTGCGACGATCCGTCTGGTCCTGCGACGATCCTTCAACATCTAATTCATCACTGATCCTGCGACGATCCGTCTGGTCCTGCGACGATCCTTCAACATCTAATTCATCACTGATCCTGCGACGATCCGTCTGGTCCTGCGACGATTCTTCAACATCTGATCCTGCAACGATACTTTATTACAAAGATATGACATTAATTTTCAAGTCACAAATACCACTTAGGTAGCAATATCATACATACCATACCACACCACACTAACCATACCATACCATCTGATCGTGCGACGATTCCTGAACATCTGATCCTGCGATGATCCTCCTGCGACGATCCGTCATCATCTGACAACAAAAGTATGATATGAATAATTTCCAAGAGAGAAATGTCACTTATGTATAAAGCACTCAGGATAAATTATACCGAACCTCCAACACTCCAACGTCAGTCACTCGTAAGGCCTTCGCATTGCGCACGCGAATACAAAATGTCATGCACGTTTTAATACAAAATGTCATGCACGTTTTAATACAAAATGTCATGCACGTTTTAATACAAAATGTCATGCACGTTTTAAAACAAAATATCATGCACGTTTTAATACAAAATGTCATGCACGTTTTAATACAAAATGTCATGCACGTTTTAATACAAAATGTCATGCACGTTTTAAAACAAAATATCATGCACGTTTTAATACAAAATGTCATGCACGTTTTAATACAAAATGTCATGCACGTTTTAATACAAAATGTCATGCACGTTTTAATACAAAATGTCATGCACGTTTTAATACAAAATGTCATGCACGTTTAATACAAAATGTCATGCACGTTTTAATACAAAATGTCATGCACGTTTTAATACAAAATGTCATGCACGTTTTAAAACAAAATGTCATGCACGTTTTAATACAAAATGTCATGCACGTTTTAATACAAAATGTCATGCACGTTTTAAAAAAAATGTCATGCACGTTTTAATACAAATGTCATGCACGTTTTAATACAAATGTCATGCACGTTTTAAAACAAAATGTCATGCACGTTTTAATACAAAATGTCATGCACGTTTAATACAAAATGTCATGCACGTTTTAATATAAAATGTCATGCACGTTTTAATACAAAATGTCATGCACGTTTTAATACAAAATGTCATGCACGTTTTGGTACAAAGAAAACGAGAACACTGGACTATCATCTCCTTCCAGAAATACATATTTCATGTTTTTATGTTTTAGGCGCTCTCTGAGCGATATTTTTGTCCGGACTATATAGTCGTCAAGATGGAGAAAACACAAGTGATTGGGGCCCCAGAATCACTTGTATTCACTCCGCATGCGCTTGATACGACCAGACTTCATGCAAAAATCATGCACAGGCGGAAAACTTGAAAATGAAGGAGGTAAACAGAAGAGTGTTCAGTTTATATCTTAGTCAAAAAAGCCAAATTCCATGCAATTTTTACTCATGCATATTGTCGAAATCGAGTTTTGTATTTGCGTGCATAAATGTCCCAAGGCATGTCCAACATCTCTTTACGATTCTTTCGTTCTACAAAAACAAAACTTCGGTAAAACAAAAGGACAGGGAAGTCTAGCATAGTACAATCATATACCAATACAAATAATTATATAGGCATTGAGTTTTAATCCGTCTTTCCCTTTCAAAACGAGCATTCCCTTTGGGCAACCCTGTTCCAAAAACGAATAGGCCAGCTGGGAAAGTTAGTTTCAGTCATAAAGTTCGAAATCATTTCGATATATATCAAAACTATTCTAGTTTCGTCCACCCTGACTGTCCGTAAACAAAGTACAAACGTGTTATTTCAAGTCACAAATGCAAAATACACATATATTAATAGAACAATACCTATTATTCGCTGCGAGCGAGCGTTTGTGTTTCGCCTTCCACATCTTTCAGCGCCGTAGCTCGTTCTGAAATGAAATAAAAACGGAAAATCAACTGAAGTGAGTTAACAGCTTACTTGCATTTGACATTTTAAATCGAAATATACAAGATATGGGAGTAAAAATCGGCGAAAATATACGCCTTCAGTTGCTAATGACTTCTGGCTATTCAAACCAACACAGCGATGAATTAATTAAGTTTTCAAAGCCAAATATCAAGCCAACAGATTCTTATAACCAAATATGAAGCCAACAAATTCTTTTAACCAACCTGACTATGTGTATGGAACTTCTTCGAGCGACTTCCTTCGAGATTAACGTACCAAGTCTGAGTATCTTCACGAATTCATCCACCTTTTATCACCTCAAAGAACATTCCAACGGATTAAGTACGTTGCTTCTCGTGTGCCGAACGAATAACAACAATAGATGACGATTCATCCTTTGATTAACTATTGTTTTAAATGCATGTTTCGCACAGCGATATGTTTTGCATATTTCTATTGCTCGTTGCAAGTGAAGTGATGAATAAAATGCTGGTCCGTAAAGCGATTCATGAATCTTTGTGTGAACGGTGTCTTTTCATACCCCAGAAAGAATGCCTGCTTAGTTTACTTTTTGCCTTCCGTTCCAGGTTGACAGCGATTATATTTTACATCACTTAGGCATGTTTCAGAAGTTGGTTGAACTGTTTATGTGCTGAATCGAATGCAAATGACTTAAACAAAGACATTAGCTCATTAAATTAGCTTGAACACATGAAAAGTTCGAGGTATGAAACGGGACTCATATCAATTGAATAACTTTATTTTTCCGGTAAATGAAAAACATGGTGTTATTTTTGTTTATAAAAATCTAGTTTACAACGTTATTATCTACACTCACATATTATTCACACCCAAAATATACAAATATTACTTTTTTCTAACGTTAATAAAGTTTTAACATTGCGACCCATTCGTCCCCTGGTCTAGTCGAGGTGCAACGAGGGCTATATCTCGTGTTGGAGGTTTTTGTCTCCGTATATCAATCCCCGGTAGAGACGAAGTGCCGGCATGCCTGGAATCTAGTTGAGGTAATGAAGAGCTTCGACCAGGTTCGTGTTCAGTTCGGATTGTCTCGTTCGACTCTTGGTGCATGTGATCTTGTGGTTCTTTCTTCGGAGACTTCCCACGATGCTTGTTGGGTTTACTGGTCGCTGATCTTCTAGTGAAGTCAGGAGCTGGAATGTTATTAGTGGAAGGTGGTGTAATAGGAGCTGCAGTCTGCACCTGTCTTTGAACTATAGTTTGTGTCAGAAGACGTTTGATGTCACTAAGTTCCCTCTTCATGGCGGTCATTTCATAGTTTTGCCTTTCAATGATTTGCACCAAATTATCACGTAAACTACAAAGGAAAAAGATGAATTAAACGATTAAAACTCAACAACTTATTTTGGGAAGATTTCGTTACAAATCCAAACCTCCAGCTTGGGATAGCGAGAAAATCTGCGGTTTTTTAGTGAAAAAAAACTGGAAGCCTTCCTCGCCGGAAAACATCACACAAGCTTTACCTGTCAACAGACTCTTTATTTTTACTAGTTTCCCCTTTTCTTTCCTCTAAAGATGTTTTCACTAATTCTTCAACTTCCAAGACTTTATCATTGATTTGATGAGTAAGCTTTTCCAGTTCCCCAGATTGTGGCTCGACGGAGTCATCGTCATAATACATCTCCTGAAGTGAGAAAATCAAGATGTTTCTCAGACTCTTGGACGTAATCTACCTCAATACATTGCCATAGTTCGAACACATAGGGACTAATAAGAGATCTTTACTGAACATCTAGGAAGAACAGTTTAGAACTGATAGAGCTATCCAGTATAAATAAAGTTAGTTTAGTTTAGGTTTCCTCCTGTAGTAACACTGAATCAATAAGAGATGATCCTTACTGGACCTCTAGGAAGAACAGTTTAGAACTGATAGAGCTATCCAGTATAAATAAAGTTAGTTTAATACCCTACACAAGCTTATTCTCACCTCGGGAGCGCATTTTGTGTGTATATGCTTCATAAACAAATCTCTCCGTCTCCCAGCCATGTCAGTTTCGAGAGAAAGAATTGTGCTCGCTTTCTGCATGACCGCATTAGCATTCGCGTTATCGTAGACCCTCTGAAACGTGTCTGACATGAGAGCTATGAACAGATTCAGACACACAATGGCAGAAACCGCCAGGTAGGTTCCGCATAAAATCTGCGCCATAGTTCGGTCTATGACCAACAAGGAATCCCAGGGATAGTTTCCCACGACTGTTATTTCCCACACGGAATACATGAGGTTATTAAATGTTCTCCAGCCTTCTGAATCCTGACCCGCTTTTCGCATCTTTTCCGCGTTCTCGTCTCCACCAAAATTGATCCAGAACGCGCAGATGAAGGGAATGTAGAACATTATGTAGAGAAAGCCAAATATTAGAGTATCTTTGATCAGATGACCTATCATGACGATGAACGGACCCAAGGCTTCGAAGGCACGGAATACTTTCATCAAACGTAACCAAATTAATATCAAAGCAATTGACATGACCTAGCGAGAATTGAACTGTTAGAACAAGTTTAAGTTTCCTCCTGTAGTAACACTTGATCAATAAGAGATGATCCTTATTGGACCTCTAGGAAGAACAGTTTAGAACTGATAGAGCTATCCGGTATAAATAAAGTTAGTTTAGTTTAGGTTTCCTTCTGTAGTAACACTGGATCAATAAGAGATGATCCTTACTGGACCTCTAGGAAGAACAGTTTAGAACTGATAGAGCTATCCAGTATAAATAAAGTTAATTTAGTTTAGGTTTCCTTCTGTAGTAACACTGGATCAATAAGAGATGATCCTTACTGGACCTCTAGGAAGAACAGTTTAGAACTGATAGAGCTATCCGGTATAAATAAAGTTAGTTTAGTTTAGGTTTCCTCCTGTAATGTACAATAAATTTATGAAAGTTTAAAAATCACCATATTCTAAAATACTGAAGTCTATACCTTCGGATGAAGCTCGTTGGCAGCATTATTGTCAATTGCCACAGACAAAACACGTGTCAAAATGACGCAAATTATTCCGAGATAGGTGACCCAATCAAAGTAGTTCCAATAACTCTGAAAATACGATATTCCTTGGGATGAAATGCTCTCAATCTCCATCTCAATATATTTGCATTCCTCCGGCCAGCGAGGGTGACAATACTTCAAGTCACGATTCAGTTCCCCGATTCTCCAAGTCTTCCATTTTTCATGTTGTCTTCTGGAATTACGTACCTATATTCACAATAGAATAAGATCTTGAAAACCGTAGGTGTCCCAGGGGGTGTGAGAGAGGTTGGTAGGGGGAGTTTGGTGGGGGAGGTTGGTGGGAGTTTGGTGGGGGAGGTTGGTGAAGGAGGTTGGTGGGGGAGTTTGGTGGGGGAGTTTGGTGGGGAGGTTGGTGGGGGAGGTTAGTGAAGGAGGTTGGTGGGGAGTTTGGTGGGGGTTTGGTGAAGGAGGTTGGTGGGGGAGTTTGGTGGGGGAGGTTGGTGAAGGAGGTTGGTGGGGGAGTTTGGTGGGGGAGTTTGGTGGGGAGGTTGGTGGGGGAGTTTGGGGGGGAGGTTGGTGGGGGAGTTTGGTGGGGGAGGTTGGTGAAGGAGGTTGGGGGGGAGTTTGGTGGGGGAGTTTGGTGGGGGAGTTTGGTGGGGGAGGTTGGTGGGGGAGGTTGGAGCAGCTCCCCCATTCAATTTTGTCAAAATTCTTAAAAAATTGGTTGGTTTTTTGTACCTCAGCAATTTCCTGGCAAATGAACAAGGCTGTTATACTGACAGCTAAGGACTCCAGCACAATCCTCCACCAGTATTTGCTTGGAGGGTCATAATAACTATATGTTGTCGCTGCGGTTCGAGGAAGAGTTATGCCAAGAACCGTCCAAAGCAAGCAATACAGAAGTTGCACAAACACTTGGATAATTGATCCTGTTTTGCCGAAACATTCCCATTTCACTTGAATAAGTCGTTTAAACACTGGATGCATTATTAGATCCATCTGTTTGAACCTGACTGCCTCTTCCAAAGGGGTTTTCGCTAAAATGTTTTCTTTTTCACCTGGTTTACCAGGTTCAAGTTGGTTGAGGTAATAGTACTGCTTGCGGTTGGCTCGATCCATGCTGTGAAACTGCTCCAAAGCTTCCTTAGCAACCGGTGGCATTTTTGCAACCATTAGCGACATTGCTGTTACCCCATTTTCATCGCAGACACCAGCAGGAACGTCAAGGGATATAAGCAGTTTGGCTGTTTCTGAACGATCTATGAAAGTTGTGTGAGATGATATTACTCATAACAGTTTGATTGACCGGATAATAATAACTTAAATAAACAACTGGTTCAGACCAAACATCAACCAAGAGTCCAGACCAACAATTTACCCATTCAACAGATGCAAGAAATGAGCTGAAATAAATGACTAACAGATTGCCACAGATACACCACCTTGCTGGTTCTCAGAGTTTGCATGTTGTCTTAAAACATGGCTCCTATATGAAGTACCTACCTAGTTCAGCAGCCACGTGCAACGGAGTTCTTTGTTTATAATCTCTGCAATTTACATCAGCACCAAGATTAATCAGCTCTTGCAATGCACTATCAGCATCATTCTTTGCAGCATAATGTATCGGTGTTTGACATTCTCCATATGTGCAAGCACTCAGTGATGCTAGGTCAGGATAAGATGCAAGAAGTTTTTATAATAATCTATTCCATGATCAGATGAAATTGTAAACAATAATAACTCCAAGACAACCAGCTTTGTACTTAACCTGAGTACATGCAAGGAATTCAACCTAAAGATGCCAAATGACAAATGCTAACCACATGCCCTTTTTTTATTTATATCTTGCACACAAAGCTGGTGGTCTTGAAAACGTATGGAATTGAGTAGATATGATAAAAAGGCTTTATTGACAGACAATTAATTGAAAGGTCAGAGCCTTGTATCTCATATGCATGCATGAACTCAGTAATGCTAACAAGGTGTTTATGTGTTTCAGATGTCCTAAGTGAACTTTTATAAATTCTTATCATATCAGTTTGTCTACGTTATATTATACAATACAATACTAGGATGTCAATATCAGACGTCACAGCAGACAGATATGGCAAGTTAGTGTGATATCCAAATTAACATACCCTAACTTTGCTAGTTTAATAAAGCCTAGTTTAATAAAGCACTGTAGCAGATAAACATTGGTCTAGACAAAGATTTGCCTGATAAAGATTTCTTATTTTCTTTTAAAAACAATACTCACTGTAGATGTTTTAAACAAATATATATGAGTTTCTGTGGAAGTTTCCAAGCGGTACGTACTACAGATGCTTATATAATTAGCCTAATTATGATTTATCTGAACATGCAAGAATACATCTGGGACTGTGCAAAATCTGGGTCCAAAAGGTCAAAATATTTCTTACTCTATAACAAGTTCTAAATGTTTTGTATTAAATTAAGAAATCATTAATTACTCCTCCTTGAACTTACCTCCATTGTCAACCAAGAACTTTATCATTTCCGCATAATCTACGGCTGCTGCAACGTGCATAGCCGTCCGCCCGTACTTGTCTGCTTTGTTGATGTCGGCACCCTTCTCCAACAGAAAAAGGGCAACATCACAATGCCACGCCCTACTAGCTTCATGAAAAATCGTCTGGCCATAACGGTCACATACATTCACATCCGCACCACTCTGCAGAAGTGAATCCACAAAGTCGAAATCGACTACAGTGGTTGGAGCTTCTGGATCAGCTTTGGCTAGCTTAGCAAAATAAATAAGTAATGCTCTATTGCCTGCGGTTTGACCAGTCTGTCGACTTGTACCAGAAATCTCGGCGTCATTGCCCACCTCCGAACTATTCACCCCTTCTTCAATGTCACTGTCGAGAAAAGGTAATGGTACTTTTAAGTTTTCATAAATTCGAACCCGCTTGTCAGAGCGTCGACGTTTCCCAGCATTAATACGGTTTTCTCGTTTCGTGCACACGTAATGCTTCCAGATTGACAACGCGTTATTCTGTCGGTGAAGAACATCCCATGCTGCGACCAGCGAGCTTCGGTCTGTGTTCACTGATGGTTTAACAAGTTTCGCTGGCTTAACTACAGTCAATTCAACGCTTTCTCTGTCGTTTTCATTATTATTTGGCTTTCTCCGTGTTGGATAGACCTTACCTTCCTTCATTTTCGATGACTTTCTAACTCTTTTTAGCGTCAAAGATCAAAGATTGTTGGCAAAGCGACCGTAAACACAGTAATCAAATCATCTATAGTAGGCTCCGTTCAGGGCTTTGACCCTTTGCCCTAAAGTTTTCTTCTCCGAACAAGACAAGCTACTGTTTCTTGTCAAATGTCAATCGTATAAACAAAATATTTCAGAACTTTTCCTCACTTCGCGCCATAAATCATAAAATACAACACTTTCTTTTTCAACTTGTTACCTAGTGACACTATGACAGACAACTGGAAATGATAACTTCGCGAACCAACGCCCCCCCTTTGGACAATATAAACGTAGTAATTCTAAGGGGGGGACTTCCCCTTTCTCTAACTATCTTACCTCATAAACCACTACCGTCGTTTGCATAGAGGAATGAACAATGAACAGTAGCATAAAACACTGACCCGTATACTGGATGAATAACACAAACTTTATATCTAATATATTTAGAGTTATCTACAGTTGTTTAGCAGTGCTGACACCTACGCTTGAACCAGATACATTCCAGTCAACTCTCCACTCATCTGGCCCTAAGTGAGTTCTTGACGTTACCCAACCATGCAGCTTTAAACTGTTCAAGAATGTTGGAAAGATTTTAAGTGTGAAGTTATGCGCATAGGCCACAACATCCCATGACGCAGTTGTTGCCATCTCTCTAACTGATAAAAAAAGTTCAATGACCAAAAGTTCAAAACTAGTGAAAAGAGCCAAAGATCCATGCAATAATGTATTCAGACAAGATATATATACCAAAAATGCAAAACTTACTAGAATAAATTTGTTGCCATAAGTTACACAAATTATTAAGTGCTATTGCACTCATTTCATCATGAGTAGCAATCTAAAAAAATATAATAGATAGAGAGAGAGTCTATAGAATGAACTACCGTTCACAAAAATTTCTTGAAGAGCATCCGACGTTACCTTCGTCATAAGCACTGGGCTTCTGATAACAAGATCCATGATTGCAATTTGAAAATAGCATTGTAGTAAGTTCTCTGAAGTAATATCTCTATGAAGAGCAACATTCAGATGACCTTGCAAATAAAACATAAATTGTTCAATTTTTTTCTGAGGAGAATGAATAAAGTATACCATGGTCATTGCAAATACCTGATTTAAAATTATTTGAGATATATAATTTCATAATGTATTGGGTTTCCTTTGAGTTTGGAAAAGCTGCATAAAAATCCCTCCCACTAAAAAAAATAAAAACACAAATTTAAACATCTCTCAATATATTCAGGCAATTTAGCAATAAACTATATAATGTTATTTCTACCTTGAGATGACATCGCTAAAAGGACATCCTAAGTTAACATCTAAACAGTTTTGACATTCTAAAATTTAAAAAAATGGTAGGTTAAACACTTAAACTTAATCTGTTATAAAGATATGATGTGGAAAGGCATTGATTCCTACATACTTGTCAATATAGGTTCTATTTCTGATATCTCTTGTGGACTAAGTATGTGACCATGAGTGATGAAGTTCTCAACCAACAGGTGCAAACGAGTTGAATTAATTGTTTCCATGATAACAGCTGAAACTGCTCGAAAATTGCAGTATAAATGTAGTGATGTGAAGACCGCAAACAGCAACCATATTATCCTAAGAGAAATGAATGAGGCTCAGGATAACTAAGTGATCGAGGGTCATGAATATAACTACTGCAAATGTTGAAGAAATGAAATACCTACTGGTCGCGGCCTGTGACTAATGGAACAAGAACAAGGTTAACCAGAAATGCAAGTAAATTGACCATCGTCTCCTGTGATAAGACATATAAAAACATTATTCTCTGGTAGCATGAATCCTTTTCATTCAATTTAAATGTTGACAGTTGTGTAAAACACATGAACTTATAGGTCACAAAATGGTAGTTAAAAGCTGAATTAAACCTGACTCCCATCCTTAGCTGATACATCAGCCATGTTGTCTCTTCTGGCCTGATGCTGCGTCAATGCTGCTCTGGTTGCTCCACCACACACACCAACCAATGACTTGAAAAGCACAAAAGATACATCATTTTCAAACTACTCCAAACATCATAGATCTGGTGCTTGTTTTCCAACAAGACAAAGAAACACTATTCACATTGAGGTTAATCAAATAAGACCATTAGGTTTTCCTACCCTGCATAGACTTGATAGACATGCAAAGATGAGGAAATATTCTCGAAATCTTGGAGCCAAGAGCTCAATACAATATGTTAGATCATTGATAACATCAGCTGCTAATCTAGAAATTTAAACACTGTTATAATCGCAAAACTCTTGAATTGTACAATTAAACCAAACTGTATCATAATCACACCTCCATTTCTTTGCATGACAGTCAAGTTCAGTCCTGGAGAAGGAAACAAACTCTACTAAAAACCAAAGTCGATTTATATTTGACAAAGACATATAACAAAAACTAAGTCAGACCCTTTGAGCCATGTGAAAATTATTCTTCCAACCATTCCAGCTCCATCTAAAGATATAGAAAACATTGATATGGCAGGATGGGTTTGGATGTTTTTGGTAGTTATCATTCTGTCTGCAAGAAATCGAATTTTAAGTGGTAGGTACATACCTTTTAAAAGCCAAGTAAAGGTTGCAGCAAGGATTGATGCTTTTTCGTCACCAACACCGTACGCCTTTAACATGGCTTGAGCTGCAAGGGCAGACACTATCGAGGAGCAGAATGCCTGGGAAGGTGCAAGTATATGTTACCTTAAGGTGGCTGCTTTGTGTAAGAACTGCGAAATAAAGTCAACTTTAACAAAGCCTTTATGTTAGCAAAAAAGTAGTACACTGCACCTGACATGTGTCCCATATCTGATATTCCAGATAGTCTCTGCTGACACTGTGGGGGTACCCTTGGGGCAAAAATGCATCCTAAAAAATGAACATGAAATAATAGTAATTTTTACACTTGGTGGGCTCCAAATAGACGCATTAGTATGCATCAACTAGTCACCACTCTAAGTACTCTTACCAATTGATAACGACAAGCTTTTGATGTAACAGGGGGGGGAGCTTCAGCTGCCGTCTCAAGTGACCAGTACACTCATAAGATGTTGTGATAATCGTGCATCCTACCTTTATAAACTTATTAATTGATGCGAGACCTGTGCTTTTATACAAAGGCTCCTTCTTCACCTGTTGTGTTTCTAAACAAAGCAAATAATGAGATCTAAGTGACTCCTCGCCATAACTTTCTTCCGCAATTAATTCGGCCGCCATTATGAAAACACAACACTGATCTTCGATTCGAACGTCTGGACTGTGGTTCAGGAAGGAATTTTTGCATTTTTGACTCTCAAATGATGTCAACCTTTCCTGTTTTCTATTGATAAAAGAACTTACATGCCGTTTTCAACATTTTCAAATCTTTTTTCAATTTAATTTTATTTCTTTATCACAATGGTAAAGAAAATAAACGCAGAATTCTTGTATACATCCAGATAGCCTTTATAGCCGAGATCAGAGAATATTCCCAGTCGCCCAGGAGAGTGACCGCGTACAGAAAGAGCGGGAAAAGTAACTTCAAGTATTTTTAAAGTTGGAAAAGTGAAAAAAAATTGAACAAAAATGCACTAGCAGAAGCTAAATTGAAGTAAAAGCATAATAAAGACTACAACGAATTATTAAAGTTATCCGCAAAGATGTTTTCAAACGTTTCAGGTGGGAAAATTTTGCCGCAAAACGATATCAAAATTAGCCTTTTTTATTATCCGAATACTGATGAGTTTAAAGGGACGATATTAGTATAAACATATTTAAAAAGTCCTTATGTAATTCTTATTTTTTTAATCAAACAGGAAGACAGGGAGTGTCAATTTTTAACCGAAGAAGACGTCCACGACAGGCCGTTTACGCGTCGCCGCAAAAACACAGCCCTCCAAAACCCTCACAAATCGATATTCCGGACGAAAAGCTCGCTGAAATTGCCCAAGACTTTGAAAACAGTCCCAAACTCTATAATAAGTTCTCTTCGAGCAGCGAATCATCTGCTTTTCACCAAAGACAAAGTACAAGGCCTCAGCCAAATAGACAGTTCTCAGTCGTCCCAATGAAACACCCAAATAACCAACATTATGGCAACCACAATGTCCTTACGAAGAAACCGAAAATTGAGCAAGATTATTGCTTTGCAGAAAGCAACGAAAAGTTTTTTGCCCAAGAGCAAGACAAGAGAACAGCAGGAACCACTTCATTCACGGCCAATTCTTTCTCAAGTAACAAGCCTCAAAATTCCACAAGGAAGAATTTTTCATTTACAGAGAGGTATGTCGTTTTTTTCCATTGCTGCCTATAAATGCTGTTTTATCCCTGAACTATTAAATATCATTTTTGAACCTTTTAGAAACATGATGAATAAGCCTCAGCAATCATATTCAGGGCAACAGAAATGTGAATACTCCAGAAGCAGTTCCAGCTATGAGATGATGGACAATAGTTCAGCTAACCTCACCATAAGGAACAGCACAGATCAGCTAAAGATCAATAAAAACAAGAGTTTATTTGGTGACACAATGGTGAAAAAGAATAAAGAAATCAGAAATGGAAGCCCAGCAGTAAAGGTTTAAGAATACAAGTTTCACTATTCTAGTGTCAAGTTTTTATAGCATTACTTTTTCCTTTTTAGAATGATACCAATATCGATGGTGAGACAGGCTTTTCACTCCAAACAGTTGATAAGTCCATGAAATTTCTTACAACAACAATAAAGGGAGCAAGAAAATGGAGTGAATTCAGAGACCAAATTCCTCTTGTTTTTGAGGTATTTGGTAAGTACAAGATATAGAATAAACTACGCTTTACCACCAAACAGATTCAAGTTTAGAAAGATTATTATCTCTGATTCTTGTTCTTCAAGCGACATTGGATTCCGTACCAACATCGAACAACAACGGAACTGCGAAACTCTTCAATATCAAAGACCCAACAGGATCATCAAGGTATTTTAATACCATATTTCATGCAGACTTAACAATTATGAGTTTGAGAAGCATTTAACAATGATTACATGTCTATTTTACAGGTGTATTTACTGGGAAATGGTAAGAACTGAATAATGCAGGTTGATGCAAAATAAGGACAAGGTTGACATGTAATGGATAACTATTTCTTTATAGGATCAAAAGCTACCAAGAATGGCAAGAGGGCAAATGTACAGGTATATGTATACTGGAAAATATCTCTTTCCATGATAAACTAAGTAAATGTATATGAATCATACCGGCATAGATCGTTTTATTTATATACTTCATTTGCTACAGGTTGGTTGGTGCATTGGAAAGAAAGACCGGTCATTTTCAGTGCTTCACAATCCGCCCAGCACAAGCAAGCGAACAACATCTTGTGACACAGCAAGTTAAGATATGTGATGATGCCATGACTAAACTTGTCTCAATGATTTCTGAATCCTAATTTGTTCACCGTAATATTGACAATTGTACTAAATGACTTTTACAATACATATCCTAAAACATTTATTTGGAAGTTATAATGATTATGAATGAAAGATTTTCACAAACAAAATTGGAAAATTAAATATTTGAGTGAACTGGAATAAATTATTCAAAAACTGTAATTGTAAACAAATAAGAAACATTAATCTGACTATTCCAGTCTTTATAACACAGATACATATGAACCAAACTGCATAGTTTTACAATATTTGAAAACAATACTACTTACATAACATACAGGAAATACTGCTTAGCATAGTCATACAATTTCATTCTTCCCCATCTCATTGTAAAGGTTATTTAAGATGGATACCAGAACTTGAAGTTTCTTTTCTAATATTGGGGGATACTGACAGCCATATCAACTGTTTTAACACATGAAATGTTCCTCATGAGTATTACAACTGCTGTGAACGATCTCTTGGAATATGATCAACCCCTCTTGCTTTTAGTTCTCTTATAATATGCATTGGTAGTTTTCCTGTTACAGATACAGCATAGCATCCTGGTACCATGTTATCTAAAGAACAACAGGAAAGAATAATAATAACCACCTGTTATACCATTAGTTTTAATAGTACTTGACGTGAAGTCCAAAAAATTCTGATCTATACTACCTATTCGCTGCCATCTTGCAACCCAGCTGTCATCACCGCTTATCAATGATATTATTCTACAAAAAAGTAAAATTCATTCATATCAACAAATAATCAAAGAAAGACTAGAAAGTACTTATTTGAGTTAATTCTTACCCATCAAAATTAGAACTTGTACAGTTGCTTATGTTATCTTTACTGCCCTTCAAACGTAGAAATTTCTCGCAGTTGTCGCAGCCATCATATTCAAACTGGTCCGACGTCTGGGAGAAAAACGAAGGATCAAATATGGCATTGAAACATGAAATGATGAATGATTTTATATACACGTATTATCAATACAATCGCAGGCATAGCAAATTTAAACGATAAAAAGCTCGTTCTTTTGGAGTAAAGAAAATTTTGAATCCCCCAGAACACTAGGAGAGACGGGAGAGATTAACAATAAAGAAAAAAAGCCTAACCTTGATCAGAGAACACAACAAACATGCTCTTAAACCACGAAGTTCTCTTGGCACTGTTTCCATCGCCATTTTGAATATTAATTATTGAAAACTCGCAGGGAAAGCCAGGAGATTTATCCAGACTTTTGATTGATAGTTCTTGGGACTAAAGGCACTAACGAGAATGCAGAGTTGACTGTCTGAATGTCTTTTTTGCTGTTTTGCTGCTGTAAGGTTGATGAAAACGCTGATCTAATAAAATAAATGTTTGATGTTTATGAATAATATCTGGTATTGTTTCATTCAGAGACTCATGCCATGCAGAGACTGGGGAGAGTATTCAGGGGTAATAAAGGTGGTTTTTAGTCGATATAAATTTTTTTTCGAACCATATCCGTTCCACATATGTTTAATAACAATATTTTTTTGTATGTAAAAGAAAAATCTGGAAAGCACGCCAAAAAAAAAAAAATTTGGAAAGAACGTAAAAGCAACCAAAAGAGATCATCCAGCCTATGCCACAATCTAACCTGGTTGTACAACCGGCTGCAATATACCAACATAGTTACAACTACGAAAGGTGCAAGGACAGTTGCTATAGGAAGAACTCCCCCCCATAACTCACATCTTAACGGCCGTCTAAGGGGGAGATGCACTACGGCCCCCAGACCATGATGTATGTGCACCTAACCGTTACGTCTCAGTGAGAAACAGAGTATGCATCGCCACAAGCCTAGCGTCATAGACGAATCAGCTACAGTGGCTAGCCCTGAGAGCGAAGATAAATTTAACGTATTTAAGCTTTTCCTGGTTTTGGGAGGCATTCCCTAACAAGTAACACGCTTGGAAATGTCAAGATTTAAACGTCTAAATGTTTTTCAAGTGTTTTTAGCGAGAAATTTTAGTGCTTTGATATTCTTTTAGAAATTTTAGTGTTTTGAAACAATCCTTGTTGGTTTTTAACGTCAAAATAGTCATCATTCTCGAAAGAAAACTCAATATAAATGACTGAACAGCTTAGTTACTAAAAGGTTTTGTTAATTTTTTCTTAGTATAGCCGCTTGATTCGCCGGTACAATTTGGGCCTAAATTGTATGTATTTATTTTACTTTATCTTTATTGATTCTGTTCTACTTTTCGGGGAATATTAAAGTTAGATCTTCTTCTTTGTTTCTTTTACTAACTATCCATGGCACCGAGTCACGCGAGATGTAGGTAGTACGAGTAGTACGAAATTGTGGTGCCCTGATATTTTGAACCATTTCGACCATGGTCGAGTATACCATTTTCCGGTACATTCGATTTCGACCACCAGGTCGGATGGCTGTGGTGCCAGGAATTTTGCCCTTTTGAACTCACCGCGGTCATGAAATATTGACCAATCACTTTGCAGGAAAATACTATAATTTGTATATCAGGTGATATCGTCCGGTTATCACACTGTTGGGAATGCGAATATGTGAATATACATTTATACACTCGGCATTTAAAATATTAAGATCAAAACTTTGGATAATGGAGGAAATCATCGTCTCCCAAGGCTGGCTATATGTTAGTGTGATTTCAGCTCTATCTTTTCAAGCAGTCAACAAGTCAGTTGCGTTAGTTTTGCCGGCGCCTCGAAAATTTCAGGATCAGTGGAAGAAGGTTTGGCTGTGGGAGAATATTTGTACATCGTTTGTTCATTCCTTCTTAAGTGCTCTCCTGACTGTTTACAGGTATGCTTCTTGCTGTTATTCATCTACTATAAGCAACACTTTTAAGCGTTGAAAGCTGCTTTCGATTTTGTCTATTTTGCGTGGATTCATAACGCAAGATCGATGGAAGTGAAAGGACAATTAATAATATTTTTACGTAAGAGCAATGTTTAGACACTAGAGACGATTGACCCGTGATCAATTTCATTTTTTTTATTCGCTGTATGCTACAGAAATACGGCTAACTTGGAGAGTTCTTTCTTAACAGTGAATATTTATTCAATTTCTTCTGTCATTTAGCATATATAAAACGCCATCGATGTTAAAAGACATGATAGACTCATGGAATATTTTAGCTTATTATACACTTGCATTGTCAATTGGTATGTAATATTCGGATGTAATATTTAGAATATCATCACATATATATAGTAAACAAACTTTGCACCTTTAAGCCATTCTATGAAAGTTTTATACGTCGTAATTTAACAGGTTTAAGTCTAACGCACCAATAAGCTCATTTAGATGAAATTTTATACTCGCTCTGCCGAAACTAGACATATGTAGTTTAGATCATGAGGCAACATGAAACTAGAAATTTAATTCTATCTGCATGTCCACGTGTTAATTATTAAAATTTCATTTAATTTATCTCGGGATTTCATTTTTTCACGAGAATTCTTGACTTCTTATAGGATATTTTATATACGATTTCATCAATTTAATCATCAACGATAGAGAAAAAGGTCTTTGTATTATGATCCATCATGTTCTAGTAAGTAGAAAGTTTACTATTTTTTGAAGGTACTTTAGTTTAATTGAGCGAAGGGATTGTCATATGAATATTTGATGAAATGTGTTATGGCGTATTAATCCTTGGATTTTATTATTCATGTTGCATAAGAATATTGTTATTTTTACCAGAGAAAACCAAACCATTTGTTTACAAATGAATTTTATTTATTTGTAAGTTTTATGATATTGTGTAAAAGTGGGAAACCTCAAAAGTATTTGTAGTAAGTCTTAATAGTAATTTTATTTCCAATTCTAGGTAATTTTTATTTTCTACATCACTGTCTCAAACAAGAAGTATATACCATTTGCATTGTGTGCCTTACTCATGGAAATCAACAGCGTTTTTTTGCACACACGTCGACTCATGCACATGTCAGACATCAATCCAAAAGGATTGGCTTTTAGGATGAACTGTATTTTACTAACAACCACGTTTGTAATATTCCGTCTCATCCTCTGCGCCTGGATGATTCATTTCTTCGTCATGAATGGACATACTGTCAGCCAGTTACATTTGGGTTTTGGAATTTTTGGGCTGTGTATAGTCATACCGCAGAATTTGCTACTTTTAAACCAAGTATGGCTAAGTGATGCCAAGCGCAATACACAGCTGAGTCAGGCTGAGAAAGAGAAATTAGCTGTAAGAGACAATAATGCGAACAATTTAAATGGCTTGGAAAAGCTTAAGCATTTCCTTCAGATGACAATTGCTCGCAGTGCTGAGTAAAGCGGTTATATAATGTCCTTTCACGTAAATGTTGGGTTCAGAATAAAAGTGGAAATACTTCTTTTAATTTCATATATATGTGATATATTTTACTGACAATTACTGTGTGTACATATGTTAACATTTAATATACAAATTCCTCCATAATATATGCATAAAATATAATTTTGAAAAAAATTATCCCTAATTGTGTTTAATTTTTTATGCTCTCTTTCCTTAAAAGTTAGAGACTGCATGGGTTCACTGCTTGTGGATGATAAAACATAATAAGTTTTGTTAAATTTTGTTTGAATTTTTATGTAACATATGATGATGTCATCATGATAAGAACTTATATTTTTATCAGTTTAACATGAAGTTTCCTCATGTTTTACATGAAGTTTCCCTGAGGCCTGAGGCTATAAAGTTGCTTGTGATTTAAATAGGCGGAGAAAGTGTATAAATGAAAGCATAGAAGATTATTTCGTTTGGCCAAAATTAAATTGGCCCGTGTAGAACCAATCGGATTTTAGCCCCAGTAATTAGAACATCTTCATTATTTTTGGGGAGTTTTTATCAGTTATTTCAGGAGATTTTCGTACTACATTAATTATCTTTAAAGTTTCAAGGGGAGATAAATACTGCGTGTTATTTAAGAACACATTTTAAATGGTGCTAGTTAAATATTGGTAGATGCAAACGCGATCAGGTAATAATTATGATATGTCAGTTATATTTAAAATATTATCAAAAACCTTGTTAACCAATCAGGAGAGACCTTGTTGGAGCTGCTACACTAACACTACCCTCTGTAAAAACATAATTACATAAATTATAATATGAATATATCTTCATTAATATTTTGCAACATTTCGCCGAACATTTCGATACGATAATTTAATTGTTACAAACTGAGTTTATGTTCTAAAATTATACGCAAATATTTTCATAATGTCTACGAAAGAAAGTCATGAACGTGTAAAGGCTATTAACGCTCAAACGACTGAAGAAGAATTGATCCAGATTTATTCATCATGGAGCGAAACGTATGACCAGGTAACTGCTTAGAAATGGTTAGGGGGGAAGGAAGCAGTTGTCCCCCAATCATTTTAGAAGCCATACTTTGAAAACGTTGACATTAGGGTGGGTAAGTTGCTGAATAAATAGGCAAAACGTTGTTGTTGGCGGCCCTTTAATTTAGTTCATAATATTTGGCTTATTCACCTATCACTTATTTATATAATCTATCAACCCTGGTTGTGACACCGGGGTACAAGATTGTGGGGTGAACTGGAAATCTGTTTTGTACTTCCTAACGTAATTGGCAATTTCCAAATATGGTTGGAACTCGAGCGTGTAAAGTTTGTTGAAACCAACTGTAATGAGATATATGAACTGTTTTAGGAAGTAAAGAGTGATTTGGGCTATGTTGCACCAAGGCTTGCTGCAGAGAAACTCTCTGAGAATCTTAAAAAGAAAGGACATTCAAACAATGTCAATATCATTGATGTTGGCTGTGGCACTGGCTTAGTTTGTGAGGAATTGCACAAACTTGGATACAAGAATATTGATGGAGTTGACTTCAGTCCAGAGTTGTTGAAACTTGCCGAAGGTAAGGGCGTTTATAGGATGTTGAAGCGTGGTTTCATGGCTTCTGATGGGTGCAAGAATCTTGGCATAGAGGCAAACCAATATGATGCTGCCATTTGCATTGGTGTCTTTACGGTTGGTCATGTGAAAGGCAAAGGGTTTGATGATCTTGTTCATGTGGTCAAACCTGGTGGTCTGGCGTGTTTCACCATCAGAAAATGCATAGCTGATGATCCCGAATATGGATATGATGAAAAAATGGATGAGCTTATCAAGTTGAAAAAATGGAGTCTGGTTTCAAAGTGTCAAATTGTGTACCATGAGGTTAACAACTACAAATGTTGGTTGTACATTTATGAAATTCTATGAAATATCATAAAAGTAAAACTTTCTCCTTTTGCAGCACATTTAATATACCCACTGCTAAATGCTTTGTTAGAATTAACTTACATCATGTTTGAACTAATAGTAGTTTAGCAGGCCATGGGCCGGTAAATTTATGTCAGCTGTTGGAAGTTTTTAAAAAACTATTTTTTAAGACCCTGCTATGGTATATCATATGATACACTTTGATTAAAAGTATCTATTTCTCTTTTTTGTTGTGGTTGTTCAAAAATGGTTGCATCTCCTTGTAGATGTTTTGGAGTTCCTCCAACCTCAGCATTGTGTTCTAAAAAATAAACAGAAACCCCATTAATGCCTCATATTTACATCTTTAGTCTGTCGGGTAACTATATAGACATGCACCTGCTCTGTGGACTGGAGTATTACCCACAGAATTTGTTCACAGACCTCTGGTAAAACTTACTTTGAATAGAGTTACCATTTTGGTTGAACCGTCTTTAGTTTCGTGACCATTTTTCATTTCTTCCTTATACTCAGTGTCTACTGTGAGTGCCAGGTAAAAAATAACTCTTTGCTAAAGAGAAGAATGGCAAAAGATTGTAATTTTCTATGATTGAGTGAACAGTCCTATAGATCATATAGCATACCATTGTCACTGCTTCATTGATAATGAGGTCTTTAATTGCACTGAAATTGAAGAATGTTTTGTTTTCCTTTCCAAAACGACCTCTTGAGCTCAGCTGGATGCCAAAACCCTCAATGACTTCAACTGATTCTATACATTCAAGGTTAGTGAGTATTATCCATAAACAGAGTAACTAGTCAGCCTAGAGAGCAGTTTAAAACTGTTCATATAAACTATCAACACACCTTCAACAATTTCAGTCATCACACAAACAATAGCAGATGCCACAACACAGGATACCACCAAAATTGCCGTTCCAACTCTTGGGACTTCTTCAAAATATGTCTATTGAAAAAGAAAAATTTCCTGTTTATTAAAAATGAGCTTAAGCACAGTAAACAAACTGATCATCCATTGAGATTTGAGACAACTATCTTTTCTTTGCTAAATTGTCAAAAAGGATGATCAGTCTGGACTATAAATCTGGGCAGTGAAGCATTTCATTAATCATAACAATTATTCATTATCGCTTGTTGGGCAAGATCAACTTGGATGGATTTCTCTCATTTGTGATCAGTGATTAGTGCATTTGTCATCTGATAACTGCATATTGAAAAGATCTAATATCCAGTAACTGCTTTCCTCCAATCAGATCTCAGAATACACCTTCATTGTAATATATTAAATACTTAGGAATCCGAATATTGAAGTCAAGACGAAATAAAGTTCGTAAAACGAAACTGTAACTACTTCCCCAAATACCTTCTCAAACAGTGAAGAAAGAAGGAGATTTATGGTTATTACTCAGATCACGGCAGGTTTAATTCTCTGATAGATTGACCCGGGTGCTTCCTGCAAACAAAACATTGCGTAATAATATATAACACCAACCTGTAATAACAAAACGACGCTTGCTAATAGAGCTACAACTCCACACATTGGCCATAAATAATGAAAATAGTTGACATTTGTGCGAGAAAGCACAAATTGACGAAACATAGAGCCTAGATATACATATTTTACGTTTACTTGCCGCCCATAAGAGTCTGTGGTTGTTTTTAATTGGTTTGTTTTCATAATTCACGTACACTGCTGCTACCGTGCTGTACTCAAGTTTAACCACAAGAAACGGATGTCCCCTCCTGATATACATATAAGAAGTAACTTCTCCCAGGGGGGGTAAAAAATTTCAGGTGCATGCGAGTTGCAATGTAGTTTTGAGCTGTATATAAACTGGAGCCCGTGGTGTAATTACTGACAATGCGAATATATGCAAAGTCCTTGATCTTACACTGAAACAATCGTTTTCACTAACATTTCTCCTAAATTACTACCATTTGCGTTCAAGCTTGCGACGTGCGATTTTAAAACGTACGTTTGACGTTTCAAAACGTACGTTTAACGTTTCAAAACGTTACGTTTGCCGTTTCAAAACGTACGTTTTGTCACGCCCCCTGCCATGTTTGGGTAATTAAATTGACATGTTTTTGAAGTCTAAACGAACTTGGCATAATATCTAGTGTAAACAAATATGGATCCGTACTCTGTAAAAAAAGTAAATCTATATGGTCGCAGTTACTGTCCTGGTAAACCCATTGGCGAAGAATTTGCATCTTTTATCATCGATAAAATTTTGAAAGAAGGTGGCGACCGTATTACTGGTTACATTCCACGAACGTATGTACAGTACTCCAACGAATTTACAGTATCTCCCAATACGGTAAAAAATATTTGGAATAGATTTTGTGAAGAAGTTCCAACAGTACAACCCAAGCGCAGAGGTGGCAAAAGACAGTCAAAATTACAGGAAGATGACCTCGAACTAATCGAAGTGTTAAAGATTAATTCGCCGTCAATTTCTCTTGCGGAAATCATCCAGGAGCTAACAGAATGTGGCGTCCAAGAGGTTTCCATGTCAACTGTTTCGAGAGCAATAAAAAGCAGGATGCCTTCAGGTGAACGGTAACAAGAAAGAAACTGACCAAACTGGCGAGGGAGCGGTTTACTCCAAACAACATGTTTTACACACAACTTTTCATAAACTATCTTTCATCGAAGGATCCAAGAAAGTTAAAATTTTTCGACGAAGCTGGAATAAAAATACCAAACGTAGGAACTCGCACGTACGGACACAGTGCTATAGGAACGCGCAGTGTGGAGATAATACGAAAGCAGGAATCTCCAAACAACACATTGAACTTGCTTGTTTCAATTGTTGGGCCCGAATATTATAATATTCTTAGCGGAGCAACAAACACCGCGCGTTTTCTTGCATTTTTCGAAGAGGCCGGAAGAGTGGTCAACGTTAATACAGGTCGTCCATGCCTTGAGGTGGGTGACATCGTTGTGATGGACAATCTTTCGTCTCATCACTACGAAGGTGGAGAAATTTTGGAAGAGTGGTTTGACACAATGGGTATAGAACTATTATATACGCCGTCATACTCTCCTGATCTGAATCCAATTGAATTATGTTTCAACAAGATTAAAAACATTCTAAATGGTGAACTCAGGAAATTGGTCCACGATAATTTACATCTTGCGGTTGCAGAAGCCGTCGAGACACTTTCACCAACGGACATGACAGGTTTCTATGAAGCCACATCTTACTTGTTTATCTAGCACTGTAGTATAGCCATGGTATAGTTGCTTTATTACAATTAAATGAGCATTTATTTTCATTCGATAATGCAGGCACGATTGAAATGGCTGATATAAAAATAGTTCTGACTTCTGAATATTAATTAGTATAGAGAAAATGTAGCGTCATCAGAAACAATAGTTCTAAATATAACCTTTCGTATTTCAATAAATCCAACATCAGTTACGTAATAACTCTCAAATTTTGCGACGTTGAAACGATGGTATTTTTTTCATTTTAATTTATTTCGATTATTTCAAACATTTTAACATTAACTGAACAACAATAAATCTGGTACGGAACATGCAACCACAACGTACAAAATCGAATCAAGTTCCAGTAATATTAGCCTACTATGTAGCCAGAAGCATGCGAGCGAAACACAATTGCAAGGGTGTATTTTACGTTGGTTCTAAAACAAACCGCGGCGTTTAGCCAGCATCAATACTGTAATTGGAGGCCTAGGGGGGCATAAAATAAACTCACACAATGTAATGACAATCGATTTAAAAAAGAAGTTAATCATGCAAAACATGACTATATGAATATGCCCCCCTCCCAATTATCGACGTTTGCTTCGCCACTGAATTCAAAAACGATTTTAATAACGAAATGTTTTCCTTCGCCTGGTAAACCTAATGGCACCTTATTGAAGAAATATTTCCCTTCGCCTGGTAAACCTATAATGGTACCTTATTGAACGTAATATCAAATAAAACTTGGACTATGTCATAATATTATCGCATAAGATTAACTAATTGTTTTGCGATGACAAATTTAACAACATAGAAACTGCGTCATTTTCACTGACTTCAGGTACATCGTCACTTGTCGACTCTGCCGGCGCCGGCGTCATGAAACTGTTTGTCGGCGTACTCGTAGTTGTGCGAACACAGTCCCCAGTAGATTGGGTGTACGGCATTGCCATTGGTGAGTAGCTTGGGAAATAGGGACAAATCGATGCCAAAGAAGGCATTGCCATTGGGTGTACATGTTTCCATATGCCATAGGGAGATCGAAGCCTGTCGGGGCATATGTTGACTGTGGGTAGGGTAAGACAAGTTCGTGTTGGCACTCTCCAGAGTTTGCGGTTTTGATTTATGCAAGCTTTCTCTGATGACAATAGCTAATTGCTCAGCTTCTTCTTCTTCTGATGCAGGGGCACTATGCAAAATTTGTGAAGGCTTTTCTTTATCAGTATCAAAGCTTATACTGTTACTACAGGAACTGCTACTTTGAGTACTGACTAATCTCGAACTAGGAAACTCTATTCCATGATGCTCGAGTGAGGATCGAGCTGGATTTTCGTGTTTGCGTCGCTTGGTGTTCTGTTTTGACCGGCTGTAAAACTGGTTATTACTCGAATCGTCGTCAGCAAGACCGAGGGCGACATTCAAAATACGTCCGATATCATGTCTTGCGGGGATTTTTCCTCCCAAATTTTTTTTGCAGTACTCCTGCACTAGGTAAACGTGTTTTCGTAGTAATGACCAATTTTGGTTACCGTTTACCATGTAAGCCGCCCTATTTGCTTGCAACAGCTCACTTTCGATTCTAACATGTTTTTTGTCCGTCGCATTTTCTACAGCATGTTTTCTATTGCGAAGTTCTTCCCTTAACTGTTTAAGTTTGATTTCGTGTTGCTTTAATTGCGATCGCATTTCCTTTAATTTATGTTCGCCTGGGTGATTTTTTTCCAATCCGCATTTAAAGACCGATGTGCATTTATCGAGTTGACAATTGCGAGCAGTGTGACCCAACCTAAGGTGACAATTTCTACATATATTTCCATTATTTGGATCTGATTTGACTCTTGCTTTTTTTTTCAACATTTTCAATGTTTGCTTGTAGCTGCCTAATTACTGTTTCCTGCTCGTCAATCTTTTCCTCGCTTTTCGTAATGTATCTCTCAAGTGGAGTTTTCTCAACACATAAGTCGTTATCTAAACGATCGTCACTGTCATTGTCTAGGCCCATGATCATGCGATCTTCCTCAGTATCATCACTATCTATATCCTCACAGCCCATAAAGTTGCTTACAAGACAAGATTTTACTGTACTTGACGTTGGGTAGCGTCTTAATGCAGATTTTGACTGTGGCTGTCTGCAATGTGAATCGGTCACTTCCTCAACTTGGGCTCTACTGTCAACTTTCGCTTTTACACTTGGTGAAGAGCCCTCGAATACTCTCAATTTAAGACGATGAATATCCGTCCCTGGAATACATTTTATTCCAGTAATTGCGACTCGGAAACATAGGGGGATCACTGTTCATTACCACGTATTCTTTCTCGTCATTTTCGTACAGCAATCCGAACGTCAAATCTCTTGTTTTAGGGATTTCTCGTTTTATAGCTTCGGTTAAATCATTGTATGTCCTCGGCGAGGCCGTGAAAAAAACACGCCGTGTTTCTCCAATCTGAACTTGCACTTGTATTTGGTCCATTGTCATGTCATGAATGTCATTTTTCAAATTGCTGTATTGAGTATTTTTAAATAAGTACAAACGTCGCTATATTTAAACATGCCGTATGAACTGCAAAAACATGTCAATTTAATTACCCAAACATGGCAGGGGGCGTGACAAAACGTACGTTTTGAAACGGCAAACGTAACGTTTTGAAACGTTAAACGTACGTTTTGAAACGTCAAACGTACGTTTTAAAATCGCACGTCGCAAGCTTGAACGCAAATGGTAGTAACGTTGCTTTTTCTATTTCGATTTTAAAGTATACTTCAGGGTATGTGATTTTCTAATATTTGCCACTATTTTAGTTTAAAGTACGCGGGGTGGCCTCCCCCTTTCTTCCCCCTGGGGGTAAGACAAACAAGGCTATTTCCGGTTCTCAATGTAATGGGAGAATTTCATTTCTGGTCAAAATTTGGCAGGAAAGTTAAAAGTTCATGTCAAGACACACACTTGATGCATATTAATATTGGTGTTATAGCGACGGATTTCAACACTTTTATGGCAAAACATGAGTAAATTTCTAGCAGGAAGGCCGGCGACGCTACAAGAAAGCCAAAAGTTCGAGAGAGATTTGGTAGGACTAGTTTTGTGTTCACAGAATTTGAAATCGTACATTTTACGCGATCTTGTTACTTGTTTAAAAGCTTTGATCTTGCTTTGTAATTACTTATTGTCTTTCTAAGGAGGGATCTTAATGGCCACAAATCTTTAAATTTGATAGTTTAGGAAGAATTGTATTGGCTTTTATGCGCTTATTACCCCGAAATCCAGCTAATTTGTAATGAAATCTTTTAAAAATATATATAATTCTTTTTTAATATGATATTAAACTATTCAAATTTCATCACTTATATCGTTTATATACAAACACATGTTTAAAAAAGGTTCACTCGTTTTAAGTTTAATTTTTCCCCGATTCTCTCATTCATTCGTGTTCTCATATAAAGCAATAACAAAAACCACAACCTTATGCCAAGTTTTAAAGGTAGAATATAAATATCATGCCATAAAGTTCAAGTTTATAAATGATTATACAGAAATATAAGCGTGTATTAATTATATATAGGTCATTGACATGCATAAATAGCTATAGTTGTTACAAGGGCATATTTTATTACTTTTCTTGAATGAATCAGTTTGATTTTGAGAAGAAGGTCTTTAATTATTTACACATGAATAAACTTAAACCTGATTATAACTGAATTTTTGAGGTTTTCGTTTGTATAAATATGTTTCACTGAAGTATACAACATTGATGTATTCACCCCCTTGACAAATTTGGGCAAAGAAAATCTTGGCTGGGAATTTCAAAATATATACAAAATTTTGTTTGTACTAGTCTTTGTAGTCCTGGAGTCAGTGAACCAATAAACTATTTGGAAATCATTAGGAATGTGTATATCAATCAGACTTCAGGACTCTGACTGGGGCTGTCTAGGGTGTATTCTGACCAGCTTGTCTTGTAGATATGGAACATAAGATTTAGGAATCAATCGGATTTATTTTATTTTCAACAGGCAGAGCGTCTTGTTAAGGCAGTTAACACTACGGAAAATGCAGTGAAAGAAAAGCATATGAGAAATATCCTTTTGTACATAAAACATCCTGCATTAGACCTTTGCGTACTATAATATACTCTAGTATCCCACAATATACCTTTCCATTGCACCTGGCTATATAACTTTATTATCCAACCATATCATGATATATATTTATGCTCCTTGACAACACTCAAGCACTATAATCGGCACTTGGCAAGAAAATGGCTCCAAAACATTTTGGATGTGTCTTCGTAGGATGCACATCTCAGCAAATGCAATCATGTGTTGGAAAGCCATGACAGTTGTTTATAAATTGCTCAGAGAGGGCCATCCAAAGGTAGGGATTGATATGAATGAATTCCTGTTTTTTTAGAATATGTGAGAGCACAGTCCAGCTTCCATTTCCCTCTGTGTAAATTTTAGGTTTTAAAAGAGTCTGCAGCTCACAAAGTGACATTTGCAGATTTATCTAATTATTGGGTATGTACTATATATTTTAAAGTATTTCTCACTTGCTGGGACAGATATTGTGAATCAGTCAGTTAAGACATCATGTGAAGACGTATAATTTGTTGTTTAATTGATTAAATCCAGATTATTTTGCTTACAAAGTAAATTTCTTTTCAGAAACACTCACCAGATGGGAGTTACGGCAAGCTCTCCTACTTGTATATAATAATAATTATGAAAAAATTAGATTTCCATGCCAAGGTAATTAAATAAATTACTTGAATTCAGAATCATTGTATACCTTTATAGACGAGCAAATTTATTTATATCACTTCAATTTAGCATGAATATATTCCTGGAAATATCCAACCGAGCAGTGCAGATACAATAAAACATCCAACCAGAGATCGTAATTATTTGTAAGTGAACTTTTAAAGTGATAGATACAGTACTACTAAGTTAGATATGTTTATGATTGACTTTATTTACACTTAATCCTATTTCACTGAACTAGGATCATTGCAGAGAAAGCTGTGATATTAATACCTAACTGAAATAAGTTTTTTTCATTATGTTCTAGTTTTGAATTAGCCATAGATATTTTTGATCAATTGGACAGCTGTTTAGATCTATTTGATGCAGGTTTGAGCTGAATTTTGAGCTGATTTTAATCCTTTTTGTTGTGATCCTTATTGTGTAATCAAATTGCTTCTTAAATTTCATTCCAGTGTCCAAAAGTCTCAACCCATATAAGTCAAATTCCCAAATTCAAGCTGTGCAATGCAGAATCTGTCCCTTTCCTATGTTGATACAGGTTTGTGTTATTGTGCATCCTGAATGTGGCGGGCTAGCTAGCTTGCCAGTGTATATTGCAAGATAGTACTGTCATCAGCAATGTCATGAGAAAGACTTGACTCTATGAACTTTATTCATTGACTGTTTAATTTTTCATTTCTTTGTAGGAATGCAGTGCATTTTACAATTTATCTGTTGAAATCATGTATAAACTACACAGAAGTAAGTTCGTTTTTATTCTAGAACCTTGAATTATCAAAGACTTGGCTAAATTGTCTTCAAAGAGGCTGCAAAATCTGGCAGAATGCAGGCTACTTTTTCCCTAATCTAACATATTCATGATTAATAAATTTATTTCAGAGCTCACACATGATATGTTGAGTGGACATCGCAACAGGTTCTACCCAATGTTTCGACGACTTCAGAAGTTTTTCTTTGATGCAGGAGCTCTGAGTTATGTCACAGCGTTGATTAGTGTACCCAAGTTACCTAACGTAAGCAGCATAGTGTATATCTTCTGAGAAGAACGTCGGAGGATATGTCATTTATTAAAATCTTGAAAACAATCTTTGCAGGAAGCGCCAACGTTTGTTGGTGCAGAACCAAAACCAGTTGAAGCTCCAAAACCTGTTAAACAAGTCGAAGACGAACTGCCTCCGCCACGACCAGTAAGTTTTGTGATTTTATTTCTTGTAACCTCCCCACGAACTTCCCCCCTCCTACGAACCCTTTTCTACTAACCCCCCTATAACACCCCCAGCCATCCCTGGTCCCAAGATAAGAGGATGTATGGTACCACTGGTATCGGGATCTTATGCAGCCAACTCTAGTGGGGATTACCAATACAACCACAGCTGATGACAAGCACTGCTGTCCCTCCCCCAGCTATGAAGATGAGAACAAAATAATGACATGAACTTCTTCATATCACTCCAGGAAAAACCAGCTGAACTCCTTGCATTAAACAGCGCTCCACAAGAAGATGAAAGGTAACTGGAGTGGCTTGTGGGTGACTAATGGACATAGGGGGTTAATGAGTATCATGTCGTATTTTCTAGGGATAAGTTGATTGAACAGTTAAGGGCTAAAATTAAACATCTTGAGGAAATTCTTTTTTATGAAAAACGGAAGGTGAGTTTCTTGTTTCCATGTTTATTACGTACTTGAGAAGTTGGCAGAGGTTTTGAACGGTTTGTGTTTCGTTTTTTAGTCAAAGGAAATGGAGGATGCCTTACGAATACGAATATCAGAGGTACAGAACATCTTTCTTAATACAGACGTGCCAACATTTTAATACAGATGTAACTTTCTAACACAGAAGTTTGGCCCTCTTGTATTTACACTTTCCTTATTGAAATAATCTTCTTCCATCTTTCCACTCCAGCTGGGCGCGGAACTCGTTGAACTGCGAGAAGCTTCAGAACAAATGTCAAAAGAAAACAACGACTTGCAATCCAGACTTCAGGAGGAAATGAAACGTACGTATGCTGTATAGAACCAAAGATGATCATTGAAACTCTTTGAATGGACATCAAAATGACCTTGTGAATGTCAATAAAAGAAACCTTGAACGATATCTCATTTCACCCTCTTCTAGTGGCGGAGCAGGGCAAACCTGCTGAAGAAAATTTAATAAAATAAAACAGATGTACACAAAACTAAGAACGGAGCATGTTCAGCTCTTGAGGACGGTGAGGCGCTTAAGGTCTTCCTTAGCTCATGAAGACTTTATTCCCATCCTCAGTATGGAAATGAATCTAATGTTGGTATCATTTCAGAATGCTGATGTAAAGAAAGCTTTGACAACTACTGAGAAAGAGAAAAAGGTTTGTTTTTATTTCTCAGCGCTTCAAGTCTGAACCTCGTTGATAAAACATGGTGTCTAAACTTTGAGCATATCTGGTCTTCACTAAAATATTGGTTTTTAGGAGGTGGAAGCAACGTTGGCGACTGCTCAAGAGGAGGTTGATGACACGGTCAGTACAGGAAGGAAATCAAACAATTTGAAACGTCGCTGTTATTTAAACACTTCCCAACAAAGCGGTTTGGGCTTTTCTCAAACATTATGTAATTTTTTTAAAAATCGTTTAGTCGGAGAAGCTTCTTGAAGCTTATCAAACAGCTGAAGCAACGAAAGAAGCCTTGAAGGTGAGCTTGAAAGTTGTTTTTCTCTTACAAATGTATCGTACTGCACGATTTAGGAGATCACTTATGTACAACAACTCTCTTTTTGAAACAGGCGGCTGAGGAGACTATTGAAGAGCTGAAGAGGGAATACGGGGAAAAGGTAATAGCTTCTTGGTATCGCAACGTTTGCATCCAGATTTACTTAATAAGAGGTCAGGGTTGTGTCTGCATTGAAGAAAATTCTTGTGTCTGTGTGCTGTTCTTGAAAAGGTTTTAAATTTCTCGACTGACTGTTGTTTTAATGTGACTTATTTCTCAGCAAGAAGAAATGGATGGATTACTTGCTAAGGCGACCATAGCTCATGAAGAGACGGAAGAGAAACGAAAGGTGGGTGAAGAAAGCCTGGTGAATGAACCTAGGGGCACCATGGGGGGGGGGGGGGTAGATCTTGCCCTGTGCCCCACAATTTCTCCCCGCCTCCTCAAAATGCGAATCAGAATCCCCTGTATCATCCACCACTGGAATATTTTGGTCATGTCATAATTTTTTCTAGTTTGCTGAGGAGAAATGTTCTGGTGTTGAAAAAACCCTGAACGAAAAGGTTTGTGATATCAAAGACATCTGTTTCAAACATTTCACAGGGACAATATATTTGTGCAGTTTTAGACGATATAAAACGATATATGGGACGTTGGTGGACTCGATTCCCAGTGTTCGTTACATCCATGAGGGTCCCCAAAAGTCCTTCGAATACTGTTCTTTTTGAATCCAGGTTTGCGAGTTAGAAACACAACTTTCCGATATGAGAAAATTGAGGGAGGAAGAAGAAATGTCAAGAAAAAATGCAGAGGAGATGATTGAACAATTAAAACAAGAGTCAAAAAATAAGGTATGAAGTTTATGAACTCTTCTCCTACACTCGGTAAATACGAGGAAATATCGCGACACTTTGAAAAAAACAGTGTGAGTCCATTAACCCCTCACCACGTGACGATCTTTCGACTGTGCCCTGGTTTAACTCATAAACATCCTCCCTGCACGCGTGTTAATCGTACGTATATTACTGACACATGGTAATTACACACTTTGTCTCTTCTGTATACTCATTAGCAAGAGGAACTGAATGGATTGTTGGCTGGAAAAACTCAAGCGTATGAAGAAACGGATACAAAACTCAAGGTAAGTTTTGGTCATTTTTTGATATTTCAACTAGTAACAATAACAAAAGGCCGCTCATACTCTAAAGTATGGGAACTGGACTCTGTTTCTTCATCTTTCATCTTTATTTCAGACCACTGAGCAGAGATGCGCTGAACTGGAAGAATCGTTAAAGCAAACAGTATGTTTCTTGTATATGTCGATATCAACCGCAGTCCCGCTTTTTTCAAACGTTGTCTATCTTATCCCTCATGTGTCCGTTGTTGTACATTATAGACGGGTAACTTGGAAAGCACGGTGAATGAAATCGCGAGACTGAAAGTGGAAGCAGAAACGAGGCGATGCGAGGCCGAAAATAAAATGGAAAATATGACTAAAGAATCAAATGAAAAGGTATCCTGAGGTGTAAAAAAGGGGTGAGGTGAGGTGAGGTGAGGTGAGGTGAGGTGAGGTGAGGTGAGGTGAGGTGAGGTGAGGTGAGGTGAGGTGAGGTGAGGTGAGGTGAGGTGAGGTGAGGTGAGGTGAGGTGAGGTAAGCAAAACATTAGTCGGGTTCTTTTGGCGTCTAATATTAAGCTTCATTTTATATTCGCAGCTAGAAAATGAAAAGATTCAAAGGGAGAACGCTGACCTCCTGAATAAACAGCGTTTACTGGGTGAGTACGAGGGAAGAAGGAACCTTAAAAAAGTATTCTTTCTTATTTGACACAAGAATCAAGAATCGACTGTTGTGTTGTTTATGTCCTTTAGTTCTCGCGGTCCAAGAGTCGGAAAAGATCGTTCAAAGCTCCTTAGACGAGTTTGAAAATCCCAAGAATTGTGGAACAACTTGTACTGCAGGTGGGCTTCTGCATGACGCGACTAGAGTGGAACCTCGCCACGCTAAATAATGCTTTTAAACAACGTATTTTTATATAGAGTATTTGGTTGAACGTATGTCGGATTTGTTGCCAACGCTGGACAGAACTGTTCAGGGATATCGTTCCTATCTTAGCGACAAAAAAGGTCAATAATGATGTAGAATATGAAGCTGTCTTCAACCTCTGTTCTCTGCTGACTTTGTTTTGTTTTCTAGATGTTGATGATTTCGTTACCTCGATCGGTCCGTATTCCCATCTTCTTAGCGAGTGTATTCTGTTAGGAAAGGCCACGTCACATATGGCCCCACGCGAGGACGCTGAAGGTAGGGATTGTGGTGGTATATGTTGGATAATACAAGGAAAATGGTGGTAAAAACAAGCATGATGATGTTGGATAGTGAGGGATAATTATCATTTTAATCTAGCTTTGGTGAAACACTGTCAGAACGGTGGTAAAACAACACTAGAATTACTGCAAAGTATGAAGGACACTGATATTACAGGTTAGACATTAATTACGCATGCTCTCTCTCCTTCTGGACAATTCCAGAGCTTGTCCGTTGTGGGAAAATACTTTCGTTCATTTTCACGCCTGATCTTGCCTTAGATTCAAGTAAACTGGACGGTCAAGTCGAGGCAGTGAGAGAGTCAATCCGGAATATACTGAACATTGGCAATGTAAGTTTGAAGATAATTCAAGAACAGTCAATAATACCATGTGCATAATTAACTCCCTTTTTCAATGGTCCATATCACCAGGCTCTCGTGCCAAAAGAGGATGAAAGTTTAGACAGTATTGAAAACGCCGTTGAGGATGAAATAACGTCAACAGCTGAGGTACATTGTTATGGATACCTTTCACTAGCACAATCTGGTTCTAAAGACGTATTTTGGTTGAACGCCAACCATTTAAGTTCTCTCCCAATTATTCAACTGACGAATTCTTTCTTCTTCACAGCTCGTAGCAGAGGCTGTCACTAGAATCGAGGTGGGTAAAATAAGCTTTACGAGAAATGATTTCAAGGTGATATTCTTGACTTCATCTTCTTATTTCAGGAAATGTTGAAGAACGCGCGTCAAGCAGATACGGGTGTCAAGCTGGAAGTCAATGAAAGGTTTCTTTCCGTTTAATATCCTCTTTTCATTTATGATAAAAGAAATTAAGCTCTCCTGTAGATAAATACACGTTAAACTTTACTTTTTAGAATTTTGGATTCATGTAACGCATTAATGAAGGTATGGTTTAACATTTATAAACTTTTCTTCACAAATCACGAGAAACATCCTGACTCACCATAATTCAACTTTTAGGCCATTCGAGTTCTCATTTTGAAGTCGAAAGATTTACAAGGCGAGATCGTCGAGGAAGGCATGGTAAGGAATCCATCCAACACTCCATATATTTTCCCCAATAATTCATATTTGCTCACTGGGTTATTCGTGCGCGTAAAGCTATTTATTGTGCTTATTTCCAGGGTTCAGCTTCGGCTAAAGAATTTTACAAGCGACATCACAGATGGACGGAAGGTCTCATATCAGCTGCCAAAGCGGTTGGTTGGGGAGCCAAAGTTCTTGTGTAAGTTTACGTTTGTAGTACCTCCTCATAGTGGATCAATAAGAAATGATCCTTACTAGACCTCAGCGGCAAAATATCTGGTACTAAATCTTTATTTGTTTTAACTTCAGTGATGCTGCAGATAAAGTCGTGAAAGAAGGGGGCAAATTTGAAGAGCTCGTCGTCGCTTCTAATGAAATCGCGGCAAGTACTGCACAATTGGTGAGTTTAACCTCTTTCCCAGGAACTTTCAACTCCCTGCTCAATCTGAGGCTCTCCATTGCCGTGATTTTAGGTGGCTGCTTCAAAGGTCAAAGCTTTGCCAAGAAGTTCCAAGTTGTCTGCTTTGACTACAGCATCAAAGTCAGGTAAGACTGTACTCTATAATGTGATCTTTGCTGGTTGAAATAAGTTCATCCATAGACTGGGCAAAAAGATCACAATCCGACACTTTAGCTTCAAGTGAGAAAGCATGTTAGGATAGTACTCTTAGCTTGGTCTTTCAACTCTTGAACTCGGTGGTTATGATTGGCAATTATTATTTTATCTATCGTGATGATAAAAATACGACTGTTTCTGCAGTTGCCGAGGCGACAGGAAATGTCGTGGCGTCAGCAAAAACTGGTTCGGAAATGATTGAAGATAGCAGTAAGTAGCAAACAACTGCTTTCGCAACGCACTCTATGCTCTATATCTCTGTCTTAAAAACACATTTCCTCTATCTTTTTTTCAGAAACCGTCCCGGATTATTCTAAACTTTCACTTACACAAGCCAAGAGACTTGAGATGGACTCGCAGGTAATATTGTTAGTGCTTTGACTGGAAACAGTAAATACTGTACTTTTCTCTCAGACTAGCAGTATTGTATTTATAAAGTAGCACCTAATGAAACATTGCAAGTAATCGTATTTTTTAGTTTTATGTCTAAACTTCGAGCGGGA